CGACTACAGAGTTAAGAAACATTCACTCTTTTAACCGTGTTAGTTTGTTGTATGAAAGACAGTGGTGATCTGATGTGATTTGAATGTTTCAGTCATAGTAATTATGTGTGTGTGTTTTATTTCAGAGCTCAAATCAAACTCTTCATTGAGGGTCTGTTTAGTTTTGATCAAGATTTTTCAGCATTCAAAGAACATCTAAGGGACTTCCTCGTACAGATCAGGGTAAGAACTAGTCATTTATTTCATGGTTAACTTTTTGTGTTGATTTCTGTCATTTTAGCTCAATTTAAATAATTATGTCCGGGGTCTAGTTGCACAAAGTTATCTTAGCGCTGGGACAATTGTAACTCCAATACCTTAACGTGCTATAGTTGTGACACAATAGCAGCAAACCTCAAGGACACCCTTAATTAGACACTGTAGACCTGACTCTTAGTTGCTATTCTAGATCAAATTGGTGACAATTTACAGATAACAGAGCTGCATTATACATTTACATTGTTTTCCTTTACAGGAGTTTGCTGGCGAAGACATGAATGATTTGTTCTTGGAAGAAAGGGAAAATGCCATTAGGCAAGCACTTGATGAAAAGCGCAAGATCCAGAGATCTGTGCCAGGTATCCTTGGACCACACGAGATTCCTGAAGAGATGCAAGACTGAAACAGAGTTTATCTGCAAAAATAGAAATATGAGCAGGAGCTCACATACAGTCCGGCCACACAAGCCATGATTGGTTCCTGAAGACAAACTGGATCAGATGCATGGAGCAACGCATGCCTTTGAATAGATCACCATTTCATTCATGACTGCTGTGTGTGACTGAGGACATCCACTACAAGACAGGAAATTGAACAGTTAGTGTGTCTAAGACTGAAGGCAGCTGTTGTTTATGTAAAATTCACGGAAACCGATGATGCCTGGTGATTGGAGAAGTTTGAGGAATGCTGCCTGGTGTTTGACAAGGAGAGTGAATGTGATATGTTGGAGTGGCCCAGTTGTGCGAGAGGGAGGTTGTGCTGGGCACTTGTGATAGATATTCCTGTATGTACACATTGAACAATGGTGTGCCAGATCTGATCATCTGCATCCTTCCTTCATTGTATTGCACCACAGATACATATTTTTATTGTTACTACTTTTACACAAGTTGTTTGTACTGGTGCTGAATGCGAGCAACGGAGAACTTGGAATATGATATGGGGCAGGTACAATCAGGGCTCCTACATCACACAAATCTAGCCTGTTGCGGTGCCGTAAGCACACACCACATGAGACTGAAGAAGGGTCAGGACCACATGTTGCTATTAAAAGTAGTGTCATGGTTGACCCTGACTGTAGTGAAGAGGAACATTGAAATAAGAACGTGTTGTGCTGTTGTCCTCTCTGCCATTGTATAAACATGAGACCGCATTGTTTGTTTCTGTATATATATTTGGTGCCAAGCAAAAGACCATGATGACAGTAACAAGTTCTGCATTCGGTGTTGAATTTGGTTGTACTCTGAACCAGCTGTGTTCCCAATGTGAAACAAGGGACACGTTGAGATTAAGTAGTAATGTATCTGCTTAAAAGGTTGAAAGAAAATATCATGACATCAGCAACATCATTATGAAACCAATACCAATGGTAAGGACTAATATATGAATTGGGTATGACTAATGAGAGTTTACACAACAAAGATGTTTGATGATCATTTAGGGTCATAGTGATGTTGCCACAGTAAATTATCATGTGATGACGACATCTTGGTTTTCTAGCTGAACTGTTTTGACTGCATGTTTGGCTAATACAATCAGCCTTCTAATGGTGTTAATTGTTGTATGTTTTGCCAAATGTGCAGTGGTAATGCAACATTTATATATATCACAAACTTTTGACAATCCCAACATGCCTAAAACAAGGGAAACAGTACAGATTGTCTGAAAACATAAAATTACAAATATATCTTTAGTAGTAAAAGTCTCAGATTAAGTTGAGAAAAGAAATTATTCGCTTTAATGGATTTGTCGACCCTTGGAGAGTGGTTTTATTTCTTAATGTCACTGAATGGAAATTTCTTCAAAATTGCTTTTAGGCAAGAAGCATGTACTACCTCCATCTGGAAGGATTCACTATGGACCCAGTATATTTGAAGCTCAAATGAAATATTCATGTGTCATTCAGAACAGTGTGAAAATTATGAGTGCCAGAAAAACATGTCATCAATTGTGACTTACCGTTAAATGCTTTTTGGTTAGCTTACCACAGCAAGTGAGGTACTGGGTCCATATTGTCAATACTTTCTTGATTAAAAGAAAACAATCCATGTAATCATCTTTGATCAGTTAGGAGTGCTTCTATAAATGCTTCAATGAAGTGAACTTTTATTAATTCAATTATCATTTAATACTGGATATTGCTATATTATCTGAAACTGTGCAGCAGAGGGTATCAAACAGCTTTATGAGTTTTCTTCTGACAGAGGAGTAGACTCCTGTAGAAGTTGACTGAATAAAATTTATTTGATCTTGGTAACAAAATACTTCATTGTGTTTGTTGTGCTTAATCAGTTCAATGCATACAGAAGTTGAACTTCGGGTGTAATGAAATGGTGTTGGATCACAGTGCTGGAAAAATGTATCCTATTGAAAGGATCCTTAATCAGAGCTCCAGATAAGCTGCGTATCTGCGTAAAATACGCATCAGATATGCAGAAATATGCAGTTAAATAAAATCCAAGCGTATCAAATACGCAACGAACATTACAGATACGCTACAAAAATAAAACGTGTGTGTATCATCAAAATATTGTGCACTAACGCTGCGTATTTGATTAGCAAATCACCAACTTATTTTGAAATTATAAAGGGGCATTCCGTCAACCTTGCCAAATTCCACGATGATAGTTATATCATGATCATTTGCCATCACACTTTCTTGTGGAAGTATCGTGGTATTTTTGAGTCCTATAGAGCTCTCAAACCCACTCGACACCAGTTTGCAGGGACAAGATGAATAGTTTTTTTAAATATTTAACTTAAATACGCACATGTATATAAAATAGTGGGTAACAGAAATTTGAATACCCAGATAGAATTACTGATACCCAATGATTTTAAAATGCATGGGTAAAATACCCACAACACCAAAAGCTTATCTGGAGCTCTGCTTAATGGTTTGATTTGCTAAGTGGCCTTAGAAGATATGTGTCTATTTAGGTTCCTAAACTACCCAAATCCACTTGTCATACTTTCATAATCATATCATACTTGACCCTTCTCTTGGCGTTAGAATCGTACCTGTTTTTGTAGGTTTCTTTAACTCATGTACTTTTGGCACTCGGTGGGTACCTAGGTCCCCCAGCCAATGTTGGAAGAACCCTCAAAATTTTAGTCTTGCTGGGTGACTTTGTTGATTGTGTGTCATTGCCCTTTCAACAAATATAATGTTGCTCATATAAATCACTGGTTTGTCAGGCCTAGACCCAATTATTTAAAAGGGGATGTGATATTGCTTAAATATAGTAGATTGATTGTGTGGTGTAAATACAATTCAACTACCACTTTCTGCAACTGCTCAAAATACTGACACTAATCCCATCTATCAGTGTCGGTAAAGAACAGAAGAGGTCTGATGTCTTGGCGGGTTCAGGGCCACATGGAAAGCTTCATATGATTGGCGTTTGTGTTATCTGGTGATCTGTCCACTGTTAGGGGAGAACAAGTTTGTGCTAGACCAGGTAAGCACTATCCTCCCAAATCCCAAGTAAAGCTGATAGGGGCAAGTGAAATACTGCTCCAAGCTGCTTTAAACCCAACTCGCTCACTAGTTGTTGTGGCCAGTTATGTTTGCACTTCTACAATCCCAAGATCGCGCTGAGTAAGTCAAGGTCATAGCCAGGTCACCATGAGAAGGCAATGATTGGTCCAAAGATGAACCTTGACTCAGTATCTCCAGCCCAATAAATGTTATCAGCTTGAATCATTTCATGTACCTACTTCAAGAAGATAAAAACAACTATATGGACTTAACAACCATCTTGAATACCTTACTGTTATTGAGAATAGGTCTTTGCCATCAAGGCAAGTACTATGATTTGAATAATGAGGAATGTTCTGATAGATTTGACATCTACAACACTTTACCCCCATCAAAGCAAGTACTATGATTTGAATAATGAGGAATGTTCTGATAGATTTGACATCTACAACACTTTACCCCCATCAAAGCAAGTACTATGATTTGAATAATGAGGAATGTTCTGATAGATTTGACATCTACAACACTTTACCCCCATCAAAGCAAGTACTATGATTTGAATAATGAGGAATGTTCTGATAGATTTGACATCTACAACACTTTACCCCCATCAAAGCAAGTACTATGATTTGAATAATGAGGAATGTCCTGATAGATTTGACATCTACAACACTTTACCCCCATCAAAGCAAGTACTATGATTTGAATAATGAGGAATGTCCTGATAGATTTGACATCTACAACACTTTACCCCCATCAAAGCAAGTATTATGATTTGAATAATGAGGAATGTTCTGATAGATTTGACATCTACAACACTTTACCCCCATCAAAGCAAGTACTATGATTTGAATAATGAGGAATGTCCTGATAGATTTGACATCTACAACACTTTACCCCCATCAAAGCAAGTACTATGATTTGAATAATGAGGAATGTCCTGATAGATTTGACATCTACAACACTTTACCCCCATCAAAGCAAGTACTATGATTTAAATAATGAGGAATGTTCTGATAGATTTGACATCTACAACACTTTACCCCCATCAAAGCAAGTATTATGATTTGAATTATGAAGAATGTTCTGATAGATTTGATATCTACAACACTATACTGCTTACAATATTCGCTGGTAATCAAAGCTGAGCAATGTTGTTGTGAATTGATGCTTCTTTATTGGCCTGATAATTCTGAACCAGTTCTCAGTCCTTCAATTTTGCTACAAATTGGAACTGAACAAAAAAGACAGAATATGTAAACAGAGTACACATAGTTTTGTTCAAGTAAGACGAGCTACAATTCAGGTTTACACTAGTCCTCTGGACTAAAACATATTTCTAAACTTCTGTATACATATACAATCTTATATAACATCATTAGGTGCTTCAGTAACATATGATCCTGAGTAATATTATTCACCTTAATGGATTTGTGGACCCTTGGAGAGTTATTTCTTCGTGTCACTAAATGAAAATTTCTAAAATTACTTTAAGGAAGGATGAGCATGTACTACCTCCATCTGGAAGGATTGACTATGGACCCAGTATATTTGAAGCACAAATGAAATATTCATGTGTCATTCAGAACAGGTGTATCTTTGTACTTGTGTGAAAATTGTGAGTGAAAGCAAAACCATGTCGTCTATGTGACTTTTGGCTCAATGCAGTTGGTCAGCTTATTACAGCAAATATGGTACTGGGTCCATATTGTCAATACTTCCTTGATTGAAAGAAAACTATCCATGTAATCATCTTTGATCTGAACTGAACAAAATAAGACAGAAAATGTAAACAAATGGTCTTCAAGTAAGACAAGCTACAAACACAGACTATTGAAATAAGGTTTATACTAGTCCTCTGACAAAAACATATTGCTAAGCCAGTGTATACATGTACAATCTCATGACAAGCATAACATATCATTACGTATTTGAGCAATATTATGATCACGGCTATCTGTCATGACCAATATTCTCTGCCAAAGGCAAATTCTTGGTGCAGGTCCCAGTATGTACATCCATTAGTAGGTTCCATGGTTCCAGAGATAAGGTAGACCGGACTGCATCTACCATAATGTATCTGTAGGGACATCCTTTAACTCATATTGTCAATATCCAACTGCAAGAAAAAAGAATGTGCATGTCAGATGTTCTTTTCTTGAACTTATTTGGCAAGTACTCGTTTTATGGATCCATGACCCAAAATGAGGTATAACATTGATTTTCCTTCTGACAAATCTTCACCAAAGTTTAGCAGGTCAAATCAGAGCAAGTTAGATTTTTATTTCTATTTTGGTCCCAAAAGAGTCTTAATACTTGAAGGATGTGTTAGGTTTTACTGCAAGTAGTCCTGTAGAATACTGTAAAGTTAGTTTTGTAATGTGGGTGGTCAACAAACCCTTATCTGCCTGGGAGAGTGTTGAGATTTACAACTCATTGTTCTAAATGCTGTTTGATTGTGACCAAACTGTGATCAATATTGGGGGACCATTCAAAGTGGCTTGGTCACCTGGTATGTAGGATAGTAGCCTGATAGTAACAGTGTTTGCTCGGCTTGGTTGATGCATGTCATCGATCCCAATTGCATGGATTGATGCTCATGATATTAATCACTGGATTTTCTGGTCCAGACTAAATTATTTACAGACCACCGTCTTTATCTGGAATATTGCTGAGTGCAACGTTAAACAACAAACCAACCAACCAACCAAATCATCTTGCAGGAGACCCAGGTTAGACCCAATGTGTGAATTTCATTCCTTGGTGTTGTAACATTGCTTGAATACTGGTGCTGCGACACACTCACGTCAGGTAACTTAGAAACACCAGTATTCCTTCATGGGAAACTAAGTACAGGAGGTGTTACATATAGCTATGTTAACTTACTTTCAAAAGAAACTATTTGAGCTAATCAATTTTGAACACACAATGCCATTTAGAGAATGGTTAAATGTAACAGGTTATATTTGGGATAACACTTTCTGAGTAAAGTACAGATTCTCGTACCTGTTTGAACCCACACTGCCAGAGTGAGGCACCTAATCACCAGCACACAAAGTCAGCGATCTATCCCACTCAGCCACTGAGGTTTCCACAAAAATTAAAGTGACAACTGGTAGTCGAGATCACGTACTTTGTGTACCCCTCTGACAAGTGAAAATTGGTGCCCCAATCTGGCAGTGTAGGTTTGAATCACAGACGGGACTCAACCAAAAAACGTACGAGAATCTGAACTTTACTCAGAAAGTGTTATCCCAAATATAACATGTTACATTTAACCACTCTAAATGGCATTGTGTTCAAAATGGATGAGCTCAAATAGTTTCTTTTGAAAGTAACAGTTAACATAGCTATAAATTGGCTGCAGAATATTTATTGATTCCCTTTTATGAGATCACTCAGCTGATATGAATACCATGCATTATGACAAAATTATGAAATTTGAAACTCTCCACATAATGGAGATGTTTGCCTGTATATTATCAAGTCTAGACAATCCAGTGATAGAATGATGCCGTGAGCAACGATCCCTGCCTGATCCATATAGTCGCCCCTAACGACCAGCATAGGTTGCTGGGGACCTATTCCAAAAGATGTATGAAAAGTAATTCCTTCACAACTATTGGTGGTTGCGGATGTCCTTACCTTGCAGTGATCATCAGCAGGCTTGAAGCCGAACACCTTGCCAAAGAAGTAGAATTCCCCATCCAAGGCTTTCTGAATGTTCTCAGCCTTCCTGAAGCCATGTTGCTCACCTGTGGAGTAGAAGTGAAGTCATGGAGATCCAGACTAAGAGACTAGATAGTGGATAGGGTGTCTGCCCAGAGAGCAGAATGTGGGTGGTACAATCCCATGGCCACATCACACATAAAAGATGTCTTAAAAACGGCACCCTGCCTGCCACTCGGCATTAAGGGGATAAAACAAGGACTGATAGGCTCGGAGTCTCTCATTTGTGCATGCATGTGAATGATATGTTGAGCATTGATCCACGCCATCAGGGTACAATCACTTTGAGCAGGGGTGAAAAAAAGCAAAGAAAAAGCAAATATCAATGAGGTTCAATTTGAACTCAACATTATACATTTTATAAACATCAGACTTACTAGGTCTGGGATAGCTTCAAATTTACTGGTACTACCCAGGTACCCGACTACCTAGTACTCGGCCCCACCTGGGCTACAGGTCTCAAGAGTTGGGTACAAAATATCTGAATGGGAATTCTTTTACTGCAGCAATTGCAAAAACTATGCAGATACACCTATAAAACCATCTCATCATGCAAACACTGAAGTTGATCGAAGCTTTATGTTTACTCATATAAACGTCAAGGGAATGCATGCATAGACCTAGAAGTGCAAACATTAGCAACTTGTAGTGTAACCATAGAGTTTTAATGTTATTGTCGTTAAACAGTATGTCGTGACTAACCATGGGGCCGGGTAGTCCTGTGGTTACCCATATCCTACTCTAGACCCACCTGACCTGAGTACAAGAGTTACTCATCCCAGCCCTAGGACTTGCATTAGCATGAGACTCACATTAGCATCAGCGTGGACTTCCTCACCTTCAAACATTACAAGAACTGTGGGAAGCTTCTTCTTCTTCACTGCTTCATACATCATGACGGCCTGATTAGGAAGCACAATCTGTGAACACACCAACATGGGTCTTCATCTTGAGTCAAGTCAAGCATTTATCAGGCAATGGGATGGTGTCTCGTCTGAAACTCAAACTGCTGCCAGTGCTTTAAGCCCAGTTGTCTGGGAATCAGTCCCCGAACAATAAAAAAGCACTGACCCCAGTTCATCATTGTACATACATGATATTGATAAACATACAAATTAGATATCGGTTCATCACAATTCTCAGTCAAAATATTTTGGAAAAGGGAACCTACACCATGATTACTTTATGATGAAGTAATGTCAGCATGACTGTTCATGTCAAAACGATCTCATGAGATAAGGGTGACACGAAGACACTGGCCGACTGTCTGACAGATAAATTTAAGACTACTTATGTATTCAGTATTCCTTGTAGATTCTCTTGTAATTGTTTGCATTATTTCGACTGAATCAAGACACGATATTCTCTTTCTTTTTGTGATTTTGCTCATACTATCGTCGGCAATTCATTATTAAAGGAAGTAACTACGCTTTCATTGGCCAATCTAGTCTTGATTTTAGTGTATTGGGATTGATATTAAGACGCATAAACATAAGTATTTCTTAGGGGTTCGAAGACACTGCACAAGGATACACTTAAATTCTATATCGTCTGAATGCGGGCTGGTAACTTTGAAGATGGGCAGGCAACATTTCTGGGTCACCTGCCCGACTGTCTTGTTGGGTTATTATTTCAAACAGTGGATGCAGAGCCTCTGACAGATCCCAGCTCACCTTATCCTCGTCTCCCTGGAAGAAGGCACAGGGACAGCTTAGATTCTGCACATAGTTTATTGGAGACCGTTCCTTGAGGAGCTTGATGCCCGACTCCGTCAATGGCGCCAGTAATGTGTCAGTGTAGCGACTCTCAAACTTGTGTGTCTCCTCTGCCAGCGCCAGGCAATCGGCCACACCGTAGTGACTTGCACCTGATTTAATAACAGGCATATACTCATGGAAACAAACAAGGGAATAACAAAATTGGCCGAATACCGTTTACAGTTATGCCAACCAATCAATATCTGTTTTATCAAACATCATTATGTACACTTCACTTATCAATTACTATAGTTTTGCAAAGCTTTAATTGTTCAAATGAATGTTACGCAAAATGTACAATGTTTTCAGAGTAATATATTCTTCTATCCATGATATAACGGTGTAATGATATCACAAGGGGCACCAAAAATGGGCTTCCTGGATTGTACCCATGCCATGAACCCAACCCGGATCTCCTGTATAAGTGAGTGAGTTGGGTTTAACACCGCTTTTAACAGTATTTCAGTTATATCACAGCGTGTCAGCTTCATGTGGGAGGAAAGCCCGGAGTGGTGCAGGTCTCAGAAGTTTACCACTTCAGTGAAACCCACGAGCACAGGTATGGTGCTGACAAACCTAGAAACATAATCGGGGCGAACCGGGATTCGAACCCACAATCATAGGTTTCTGGCGTGCCCAAGGGACACAACTCTGCACAGCGAATCACGGCGCCTTAGACGACTGGGCCACCTATGCCCCCTCTCCTGTATGAAGAGGAAATGCTTTAAGCACAAAGCTGCTCCTGCATCAAGAGACATTCAACTCTCGTGTGGAGGACACTGAACATGTTGTACCTGCATGGAAAACTTCTTTCCTGAAAGTGAGACAAGCAAGTGTTGTGTAGCCCCCAGCCGACCCGCCATCAATACAGAGGCGCTTTCCGTCCACACGCTTCTTCTCGGCCAGATAGAGGGCGCCACTGCAGCAGTCTTCCACATCACAGATGCCCCAACTGCAGAATGCACGTATCACTCATTATAAAAACAGAGTATCCTCGGTCTTTGAGACTTTACACATTCGCTGAACATTCGGGGCAGTCAACGGTAACCCTAGTCTTTGTCTCAGGTGAGGTGAAATGAGGCTTAATGTCGAGTCCAAGATTATTGCACTTATATTGACCTTTTTCACACGTTGCTACTTCTGGTTTGAAAGCGAGGCTTGGAGAGCAGAAGGTGAAGGCGGATAGCACATGAAACACATGGAGATGTCAACAAGGCACGCAATCGGGACAAACTGTGTCAATTTAACCATCCCGGCACATTTATTGTAAGTATTGAACATTATTCTTATTCTTATCATTGACAAACTATTCTACTGTTATCTGGTCTCCTTAAAGTTGAGTCTGGCCGTTCTGTTGTGATTTCAATTTAAAATATCCATGACCACCTGGTAACTCCCAGTGCAGTTTATGGTAGCTGAACAGACTTAATACAAATGCTACTGAGATCTTGTAAAGAATAATTCATTGTTTACACACCATTAAGCCAAACTATTTATTGTGAGTTTAAATAACTTTGTGGGTTGTATTTGAAGTCGAAATATTGACCTTTTGACCATATCTAGATATATGTCAGAAACTAACTAAATTTATATGTTGATATAATGTATCAAATTGTAACCTACTGAGAATTTACAATCGTAACAAATCAGAATTTTGCATCAGTTGCGTATTTGATGTAAATTGTAATGGACTCAAATGCATTCCAATAAAATATTAGACCTCTAGATCTACTTGTGCTGTTGTGATTGTGAACAGTTGTTATTTTGATTGTCAATGTTGACAGATTAGATAGCATGAGGTGTAGTATTTCAACTGAATTATTACATAAAGGGTGTGTAAATATTTGAAGTAAAGTACAGTTTGATCTGCAATTTTGTAAACAATATTTCTACCAAAATGATATTTACTTTACTGTACCAAATTAATCATGTCATGAAATGAACAAAAACCCAACTAATTAATGGCCAGCAAATGTTCAATCTACATGTGATCTTTATATAATTTACAGAAACAGATAACTCTTTAACAGTTTGTATTCAAATATTTCAAATGCATAAATTGATATTGACATTACTATAAACTTAAAGTATAAACAGAATTATTTTTAATTCCCATGCGTATTGCAATCATAACTCATTTATTCCCTTTGTTTAATTGTGAAACCCATCTGGTTTTATGTCCACAAACATGTTTTGAAACTTTTAAAACAAAATGATTTCTTTTGTGCAAGCAATTGCAATGTATTATTGATTATTAATCATATCAATTTATATGTAAGAATATAGTTGTGCTTACTGTGTCATTTTGCAATAATTATATTGTTATGATGTAATAGTTTACTATTGTTAACAATCTTTAGAACTATAGTTTATTTCAATCAAGTCAAGTGGTGTTATAATTTTGATAATTTTGATAATTCAATCAAAACGAGAAATATAAAAAAATATAAATACAAAGAAGAAATTTGTTTTCCTTGTCAAATAACAATGATAGCATGGATTTATCTCATCTTGTGATCTGACAAAGTTAATATTCAAGACAAGATATCAACTTTAGTAAACCACAAGAAGAGATAAACATTTCACTTGACAAAATAAATTCAAGTCTTATATTTTCTTTGTGATCTTCATGACCTTACTCAGAAAACCATAGTGTCAATGAGGCAGACTGCCTGTAGGTGTGACAAAACTTGATATTTCACCTGATTTTAATAAAAATCTTATTTATTTCACTCTAGCGTAAGTATGTTTTCAGCATGGTCAGACTAAACAAAGTATTTCATGATTAAATACATACCGGTAAAACAAATATCAAAACATGTTTCATTAAAACAAGAATGAATTTCTGTGTGACATTGATATAAAGAGCTGTAGTACACTGTCATTACAGACTGACTGTAGGTGTGACAAAACATGATATTTCAACTGATTTTAATAAAAATCTTATTTATTTCACTCTAGCGAAAGTATGTTTTCAGCATGGTCAGCCTAAACAAAGTATTTCATGATTAAATACATACCGGTAATAAAAATATCAAAACGTGAGTGAATTTCTGTGTGACATTGATATAAAGAGCTGTAGTACACTGTCATTAAATTGATGCATCTGTTGAGTTTACTGTTTACACAGAATTTACCGTTTGAGTTTTAGACAAATCAGATGAATTGATGCCTTCAAGATTGTTCTAGAGTAGCATGTAATGTTTCACACTGTGATTAATATTCCTTAAATTTCTCTATTTCAGAAGAATGTTGTTTTCTAAATAAGCAATATTTTGAGAGAAGGTGAATATGCATTGTTTATAAAAAAAACTTTATTGAAGTAGAAATATTATTACAATATTATTGAATTATTCATTTCAGGCCAGCGAGTCAACACAATGAAGTACTAGTATCCGGTGATGGATGTCTGGAGGAGCTTTCTGCTGACAGTAACACAATGGTTACAATGTGCGTCCTGTCAAAGGACGAGGAAGTGGAAAGCCATATTCATTCAATCAACAAATGTGCTTCCTGTCACATTTCACTTAAATAGGACGAGGAAGAGAAAAGCCTTATTCACTCACAAAACAACATGGCTAATACTTATCAGACACTAAAAAAGCAGACTGTACCATTTGTTTACAAGCAAGAAAATTATTTTCTCCTGGAATTTAATTAGGTGCTTTTGACTGACAAAGACACCCGGTCCATGTTAAGTTTTGAAAACTTATATTGTGAGAAATAAAGACATGAAAATTTTGGTTTGTTATTCTTATTGTACAGATACATATATTTTATCTTGGCTTGATTACCAATTGAAGTTGATTCCTTTTTATCTTTTGTTATTTTATCTGTACTCATATCTGATCAAGACATTTTCAAACTATTCAGGATAAATGTATTAGTAGCTTCCTTTTGATATACAAGTACCTATCATCATACAGGATTAGGTCAGGGTGTTCAAGAGTGAGTGAGTGAGCATGGTTTTACGCCGCTTTTAGCAATATTCCAGCAATATCACGGCGGGGGACACCAGAAATGGGCTTCACACATTGTACCCATGTCGGGAATCGAACCAGGGTCTTCTGCGTGACGAGCAAACGCTTTAACCATTAGGCTACCCGACCGCCCCTGTTCAAGAAGTTGGTGGTTGTATCAATTCTTAAATTTCATGCATTATTTATATTGATCAATATTTAGTTTCCTTTTAACTTATTTTAAACAGTTCACACATTATTACTTTTGTCGTGCACGGTGCAATCTCAATCAGCAATAATCAGTTAAGTAAGTGATGTTTGAAGAACAAGTAAAGTATCATCTGTCATTGTACACACTGAACAGAGTTATCGCCCCTTCTGAATATTTATTTTGACACATGAATTATTTTGTGAACTAATTTCATTTACATCGTAATATGTTAAGATGAAAATCATAGCAGAAAAAGTGTCTTTTGTCAACTGGACTCATGGCAAAATGATAGTGCGTTGTGCAGCAAACACCACTATGAAACGCGAAATAAACATGATCTCGATCTCGAGTTCGCCAAGCCACGCATTGACTGAGCAAATTTGCAAAAGTACACTGATGTCTTTCATGTTATGCGGTTCATTTACGATACAAAACTTCTGTCATTGAATGTACTGTCACATTGTACCTATATGCCGACGAGGTTATGATAAAACAAATTTCTGAAATACGTACCACGAAATGCACCTTTCGATTCACTTCCGGGATCCTGACAGCAAAATGCTAATTCCAGTGTATTACAGGCATATTTTAGTTGGACCTCATGATTAAATGTGAAATATCTTCTGTATTAGATACAGAGGATACCATTTTTTGTTTGTTTGAAATGTCCATCAGTGAAATGTCCAACATGCTGTCTATTCCCTATGAGCTGATGCGACTCACACTGCATGGAGCTATGCTCTCCAAGCCTCGTTTTCGATCCAAGATGGCGAAAGTGTGAAAAAGGTCAATGGCGACGTGCATGCTCATGTGTGTGTGCATGGCTGCTTGTACTAGTCCGGACTGATGCCGATTTATAGTGCTAGCCCACGGACATACCATGCCACAGTTTAACATGAATACCCCACTCAGAACCTATATACTCTGAGGCAACCTGTCCTTGTTTTAGCCCCTTAATGCCGATAGCCAGACAGCGTAACAACTAGTGCCACCTTTTAACGTCTTTAGGTATGACACAGCCGGGGATCAAACCCATGACCTTCCGCTCTCCAGGCAGACACACTACCACTAGACCTCTGAGGCTGTCTCTTTGACTCTTTGTTTCAGAAGTTCCTAATGAATACATACAGTACAATGGTATCACAATAGTGTTTTAAGCTGGGGGGATTCCATGTTGGAATCAGTCCCCAGCATCTCATGCTTGTCACCAGAGCTGACTAATATAAGGGCTGGGTGGTCACTATGTCTGATGCTGTGTCATCATACACTGACGGTGCTGATCGCTGCTAACAATATGAACCACTCATGTGTCTCACTGACTTATCTACAGTCCATGGGATACAGCTGGAATATTGCCGACCTCGCTACCAATAAAGTCTAACCCACTGCAATAAAGCCCTGTCACCTCAACACAGAAATCACATTTTATCCTTGCAAGCAGCATCTGCTATCAAGGCAAGCTTCAGCAGTGTACTAGGGATGGATTGAAAAGTGCATTCCTATGAATGTATTAAAAAATGTGTGATATTTGTATTCCACCCAGTGAGGAGGATTTACACATTCAGGGAAAGGACAAGCAGATCCATTTCTGCATCTTAAAGTCACGTGTGTATGATTACAAGAATGTTCAAAGGGTGAGTGAGTGAGTGAGTTGGGTTTAACACCGCTTTTAACAGTATTCCAGTTATATTGCGGCTTAATGTGGGAGGAAAGTCCGAAGTGATGCAGGTCTCAGGCGTTTACTACTTCGGTGAAACCCACGAGCACGGGTATGGTGCTGACAAACCTAGAAACAAAATCGGGGCGAACCGGTGTTCGAACCCACAATCATAGAGTTCTGGCATGCCCAAGGGACGCAACTCGCCACAGCGAATCGCAGCTTTAGATGACTGGGCCACCCGTGCCCCCAAAGTTCAAAGGGAGACATCTCCTACATCATTATTAAAAACAATTTCTTAACTAAAAAAATCCCATGCTATTTCAATCCCCTACAAAAGCTGTAATGCTATTTGTGTTTGGATTAATAAGTCTGCGGTAAGATGTCAATCAACTCACTTTCCACGGAGTCGATGCCTGTACTTCTTGCCATAGCCTGTACTGCCGCGGTAGTCGACTGTCAGCACTGCAAACCCCCGACTGGTGAAGTACTGTATTTGAATATTGAGGGTGCTCGAGTACTTGGCTGTGGGTCCACCATGGGCCTTTACCAGTAATGGAGGCAGGGTACCCTCTGGGGCTACAAATTCTTTGGATTTCGGGGGGTAAAAGTAACCATGGGAGACTTCACCATTAGCAGTGGGCCATGTGATTGTCTCAGGAACGCTGAAATATCCGTTGTCGATAGATAGTTTGCGGGATTCATGGAGAACATCAACCTTTGAAAAGAAACCAACATAGTCTTTTAGCCAAACAAACTATATGTTGTATCATCCTCAATCGGAGAATTTTTAGGGAGGTTATCACAATTTTAAAGGTACGGTGAGGTGAAATGTAGTTTAATGTGTCCAAGATTATTTCACTCCTACAGCAACATCTATGTACATGTGTGTGTGGAGGCTGCACTTGTCAAAACTTAAGCTGGACTCAAAGTGATAGACACAGATTAACATGGATAAACCACTCAGATACATACATTATACAAGCAGGCCAGTCTTTGTTTTATCCCCTTAAATGCCGAGCGCTAGACAGGGTAATATTCAGTACCAACTTTGAATGTATTTTGGTATCAATGAAAACCCCCTCTTCCACCAAGTTTCCAAAATATTGAAAACTGAACACATCTAAAGCTGTAAATGGCCCAAATACAGGATAATCATGTGAACTTTTCTGTAGGGAAAAGACAAATCGGAGTATATTTACTTCTATCTTGATCAAAAATACATCAAGGCTACTAATATGGGCCCCGTTACACAATGCTATCTTAGTGCTAAGGTGATCATAAGTTCCATACTATAACATAGGCTTACAACAGTCGTAGCGCTAAGATCGCTTTGTGCAACGGGGCCATGATTAATGAAAAAGAAATGACTGCGATATACTTCCCCTGACCTAGTAATGTAGATATTTATGGATAACTTCTTCATTTACTGTAAAGGCGACATTATGGTATAGATCCTTATACTGTTGTCAAGCAAGACTGAACATCAATGACAACGGTATAAGGATCTATACCGAAACGTCACCTTCACAGTTATTAAAGAAGTTGTTATCCATAAATTGTGTCTACTTTGTCATCCGTCAACTTCTAAGTAATGTCTATCAAACAATTCCTCTGACCTGTTTGCTGCCCACGTTCACTCGGACAACGCAGGGGAAGCGGGTTGGGCTGGAGGCGATGCAGTACAGGTCCCCGCTGATGGTCAGACCCACGTACTTGTGGGACTCAAACTCGGTAGTTATCTTCTCATACACCTTGGTCTTCAGGTCCACGATGCCCAGCTCCTGCCCACACACAACACAACATAGAGAACAGCTGAAGTCCCCACCCACCCACAACACGACATAGAGAACAGCTGAAGGCCCTACCCACACACAACACGACATAGAGAACAGCTGAAGGCCCTACCAACACACATCACTACATAGAGAACAGCTGAAGGCCCTACCCACACACAACACGACATAGAGAACAGCTGAAGGCCCCACCCACCCACCACACGACATAGAGAACAGCTGAAGGCCCCACCCACCCACAACACGACATAGAGAACAGCTGAAGGCCCTACCCACCCACAACACGACATAGAGAACAGCTGAAGGCCCCACCCACCCACAACACGACATAGAGAACAGCTGAAGGCCCTACCCACCCACAACACGACATAGAGAACAGCTGAAGGCCCCACCCACCCACAACACGACATAGAGAACAGCTGAAGGCCCTACCCACCCACAACACTACATAGAGAACAGCTGAAGGCCCCACCCACCCACCACACGACATAGAGAACAGCTGAAGGCCCCACCCACCCACAACACGACATAGAGAACAGCTGAAGTCCCTACCCACCCACAACACGACATAGAGAACAGCTGAAGGCCCCACCCACCCACAACACGACATAGAGAACAGCTGAAGGCCCTACCCACCCACAACACGACATAGAGAACAGCTGAAGGCCCCACCCACCCACAACACGACATAGAGAACAGCTGAAGGCCCTACCCACCCACCACACGACATAGAGAACAGCTGAAGGCCCTACCCACACACAACACGACATAGAGAACAGCTGAAGGCCCTACCCACCCACAACACGACATAGAGAACAGCTGAAGGCCCTACCAACACACAACACGACATAGAGAACAGCTGAAGGCCCCACCCACCCACAACACGACATAGAGAACAGCTGAAGGCCCTACCCACCCACCACACGACATAGAGAACAGCTGAAGGCCCTACCCACCCACAACACGACATAGAGAACAGCTGAAGGCCCTACCCACCCACCACACGACATAGAGAACAGCTGAAGTCCCTACCCACCCACAACACGACATAGAGAACAGCTGAAGGCCCTACCCACCCACCACACGACATAGAGAACAGCTGAAGTCCCTACCAACACACATCACTACATAGAGAACAGCTGAAGGCCCTACCCACACACAACACGACATAGAGAACAGCTGAAGTCCCTACCCACACACCACACGACATAGAGAACAGCTGAAGGCCCTACCCACCCACAACACGACATAGAGAACAGCTGAAGTCCCTACCCACACACAACACGACATAGAGAACTGCTGAAGTCCCTACCCACACACCACACGACATAGAGAACCGCTGAAGTCCCTACCCACACTCATCACTACAAAGAGAACTGCCGAAGTCCCTACCCACACACATCACAACATAGAGAACAGCTGAAGGCCCTACCCACACACAACACGACATAGAGAACAGCTGAAGTCCCTACCCACACTCATCACTACAAAGAGAACTGCCGAAGTCCCTACCCACACACATCACAACATAGAGGACAGCTGAAGGCCCTACCCACACACAACACGACATAGAGAACCGCTGAAGTCCCTACCCACACTCATCACTACAAAGAGAACTGCCGAAGTCCCTACCCACACACATCACAACATAGAGGACAGCTGAAGGCCCTACCCACACACATCACGACATAGAGAACTGACGAAGTCCCTACCCACACTCATCACTACAAAGAGAACTGCCGAAGTCCCTACCCACACACATCACAACATAGAGGACAGCTGAAGGCCCTACCCACACACAACACGACATAGAGAACAGCTGAAGGCCCTACCAACACACAACACGACATAGAGAACAGCTGAAGTCCCTACCCACACACCACACGACATAGAGAACAGCTGAAGGCCCCACCCACAACACGACATAGAGAACAGCTGAAGTCCCTACCCACACTCATCACTACAAAGAGAACTGCCGAAGTCCCTACCCACACACATCACAACATAGAGGACAGCTGAAGGCCCTACCCACACACAACACGACATAGAGAACCGCTGAAGTCCCTACCCACACTCATCACTACAAAGAGAACTGCCGAAGTCCCTACCCACACACATCACAACATAGAGGACAGCTGAAGGCCCTACCCACACACATCACGACATAGAGAACTGACGAAGTCCCTACCCACACACAACACGACATAGAGAACAGCTGAAGGCCCTACCAACACACAACACGACATAGAGAACAGCTGAAGGCCCTACCCACACACATCACGACATAGAGAACTGACGAAGTCCCTACCCACACTCATCACTACAAAGAGAACTGCCGAAGTAACTACCCACACACATCACAACATAGAGAACAGCTGAAGGCCCTCATCCAAGGACATTCATTATTTAGGTCACATGAAGGGGAATTATATCCCAATAACATACTCCAGTCAATACCAGTGCTACATAAACTATATGTACTTCGAGATTTACACAGATGCCTGGGCTTTTTGTTGGAGTAGAAAGTGAAAAATGTTGTATGCGTGAACTATTCATCCTATACACTACTGGAACGCAATACTCATGACAGTATGCTTCGTCTCACCCATTATTTTTACAACTGTACCTTCATAAGTTCATATCCCAGTAAAAACTTACAAATCTCAACAATCCTTAAAAATAGATTAACAGAAAATAAGAACACATACAGTCAACAGTGAGTAAGGTTTTACACTGCTTTTAGCAATATTCCAGACACCAGAAATGGGCTTCATACATTGTTCCCATGTGGGGAATTGAACCCGGGTCTTCGGTGTGACAAGCGAATGCTGAACCACTAGGCTAACAACCTGCATACCAAGTGACCAAGCTACTTAGAAATCCCAGATCACCAGTTACACAGCATCTATTCATCACTCTTATGCTTGTCATAAGAGGCGACTAACGGGATCGTGTGGTCAGGCTCTCTGAAATGGTTGATGCATGTCATCGTATCCCAAATGCATGGATTAATGCTCATGCCAATCACTGGACTGTCTGGTCCAGATTTGATTATTTACAAGCCGCCATCGTATAGCTGAAATATTGCTGTGTGCTGCGTTAAACAACAACAAAAACAAACAACATCACTCGCTGATTCTTGGTTTGCTAAACACTAAAATATGGGGACAAAACTAGTCAAGTCACTGACACCATGGTACAAAGACATTCTCCAAACCACAGCACCATCCAGTGTTTCTCTAACTCTTACCTTTTGACCAATTCCTCATGTTGATAGAAAGTGTACAGTCTTGAAGTAAATTTTCATAAAAAAATTACATGTCACAACAATGCAGTCCCTATATACAGTGATAGGCAATGGAAACTCACCCCTCCGTATGTCGTGACAACCTTCCCACTTCCAGTGGGGTCACAGCAGTAGGTTCTGGAACGAGTACAGAACTGCCAGTGAGGCTCTCCCAACTCCACGTCCCGAGGCAGTACGTTCACCTGGTCACCTGACTCGGTCACATGGTACAGGTTCCACCAATCAGTCTGGTCACCGATGTACAACAACTCATTGTCTGGAGTCCAGCCTGGGGTGATGGCACTGAGGTCAGTTTCACCGGCAATCTGTGGAGAATAATGGTGAAACCTGCAATCTCTGGATCAACAACGGTGAAACCTGATATGTCTGGATCAACAATTTGTAAACCCTGCAATGTCCTGCTCCAACAATGATTAAACCTGCAATCTCTGGATCAACAATGGTGAAACTGCTATCTCTGGACCAACAATGGTGAACCCTGCAATCTCTGGATCAACAATGGTGAAACCTGCAATCTCTGGATCAACAATGGTGAACCCTGCAATCTCTGGATCAACAAAGGTGAACCCTGCAAGCTCTGGACCAACAATGGTGAAACCTGCAATCTCTGGATCAACAATGGTGAACCCTGCAATCTCTGGATCAACAAAGGTGAACCCTGCAAGCTCTGGACCAACAATGGTGAACCCTGCAATCTCTGGATCAACAATGGTGAACCCTGCTATCTCAACATTGCTTCATGAACAAAATCCCTAAAAGTGGTACCCTTGCCTAAATCAAAATTCTCATTTCAGGGTATGTATTTGTTCTTTGAATATCATTACTGGCATTTGTTTGGATGGTGAGACCATAGTGATGCTGGGATGTGTTCGGGCAAAATGTTTTTAAAAGCTGGAAACTTTGTTCTAGCATGTTTCCACACAAGGATCGAAAGAAGAAGAAATGCAAAGTGTGAGATGGGATAAGTTGAAAAATATACCAAATAGTAAGCTTTTTTAAACATTGCACAAAACATCAAATAAAGTTGTTCGTACAGCATGTTTAAGTACACACAGACCTTTTTCTTTGACCCGTCCACAATGGAGTCTCCATCATCAGAAAGGTCAGCTGTCCACACTTCAGTGCTGTCCCAGGGCTGGTACAAAACAAATATAATAGTTAAATATGTATAGCATTCCACACTACAGCAACATTCATAAGGGTTCATTCCAAATTGTCAGACGCCCCAATTGTCAGATGTGCCAATCATCCGACAGATCAGTGAAGTGCAACATGTATCACTGCCTCGACTTACCTACTTAATTCATGAGCATCTCCCAATAATGAGCGGAATAAGATGCTCCAAATCATTAAGTGATACAGACAACCAGATTGTGATTGTGTTTAGAAGTTGCATTTGATCTGTGCCCAGTTGCTTTTGTTCTATGAATTGGGTTTTACCAGTAATATTCAGGAACATATTTAACTCTATAACTGTTAAACTTTGGACATATTAATAAGACATGATACTCATGCTTGATAACATCAATGTTAGATTGTTTACAAAAATCACAGTATCTAACATCTCAGTATCAGGTGCACTTTTAACACCTCAAACTTCACAAAATAATTGACAACATGATGTTATATATGAATACAAGACATTCTTGGCCTTCAGACCATTACCTGTGTATGTTGAGATACAGACCATATGGGGTGTACTAACAGTGTATGTTGAGATACAGGCCATGTGGGGTGTAGTAACAGTATGTTCAGATGCAGGCCATGTGAGGGTGTAGTAACAGTGTATGTTGAGATACAGGCCATGTGGGGTGTAGTAACAGTGTATGTTCAGATACAGACCCTGTGGGGGTGTAGTAACAGTGTATGTTCAGATACAGACCATGTGAGGGTGTAGTAACAGTGTATGTTCAGATACATCCCCTGGGGGGTGTACTAACAGTGTATGTTCAGATACAGGCCATGTGGGGTGTAGTAACAGTGTATGTTCAGATACAGACCCTGTGGGGGTGTAGTAACAGTGTATGTTCAGATACAGACCATGTGGGGGTGTAGTAACAGTGTATGTTGAGATACAGACCATGTGGGGTGTAGTAACAGTGTATGTTCAGATACAGACCCTGTGGGGGTGTAGTAACAGTGTATGTTCAGATACAGACCATGTGAGGGTGTAGTAACAGTGTATGTTCAGATACAGACCCTGTGGGGGTGTAGTAACAGTATGTTCAGATGCAGGCCATGTGAGGGTGTAGTAACAGTGTATGTTGAGATACAGGCCATGTGGGGTGTAGTAACAGTGTATGTTCAGATACAGACCATGTGAGGGTGTAGTAACAGTGTATGTTCAGATACAGACCATGTGAGGGCGTAGTAACAGTGTATTTTCAGATACAGACCATGTGAGGGTGTAGTAACAGTGTATGTTGAGATACAGACCATGTGGGGTGTAGTAACAGTGTATGTTCAGATACAGACCATGTGAGGGTGTAGTAACAGTGTATGTTCAGATACAGACCATGTGGGGTGTAGTAACAGTGTATGTTCAGATATAGACCATGTGGGGTGTAGTAACAGTGTATGTTCAGATATAGACCATGTGGGGTGTAGTAACAGTGTATGTTCAGATACATCCCCTGGGGGGTGTAGTAACAGTGTATGTTCAGATACAGACCATGTGGGGGTGTAGTAACAGTGTATGTTCAGATACAGACCATGTGAGGGTGTAGTAACAGTGTATGTTCAGATACAGACCATGTGAGGGTGTAGTAACAGTGTATGTTCAGATACAGACCCTGTGGGGGTGTAGTAACAGTGTATGTTCAGATACAGACCATGTGAGGGTGTAGTAACAGTGTATGTTCAGATACAGACCCTGTGAGGGCGTAGTAACAGTGTATGTTCAGATACAGACCATGTGAGGGTGTAGTAACAGTGTATGTTCAGATACAGACCATGTGGGGTGTAGTAACAGTGTATGTTCAGATACAGACCATGTGGGGTGTAGTAACAGTGTATGTTCAGATACAGACCATGTGGGGTGTAGTAACAGTGTATGTTCAGATACAGACCATGTGAGGGTGTAGTAACAGTGTATGTTCAGATACAGACCCTGTGAGGGCGTAGTAACAGTGTATGTTCAGATACAGACCATGTGAGGGTGTAGTAACAGTGCATGTTCAGATACAGACCATGTGGGGTGTAGTAACAGTGTATGTTCAGATACAGACCATGTGAGGGTGTAGTAACAGTGTATGTTCAGATACATCCCCTGGGGGGTGTACTAACAGTGTATGTTCAGATACAGGCCATGTGGGGTGTAGTAACAGTGTATGTTCAGATACAGACCCTGTGGGGGTGTAGTAACAGTGTATGTTCAGATACAGACCATGTGGGGGTGTAGTAACAGTGTATGTTGAGATACAGACCATGTGGGGTGTAGTAACAGTGTATGTTCAGATACAGACCCTGTGGGGTCGTAGTAACAGTGTATGTTCAGATACAGACCATGTGAGGGTGTAGTAACAGTGTATGTTCAGATACAGACCCTGTGGGGGTGTAGTAACAGTGTATGTTCAGATACAGACCATGTGAGGGTGTAGTAACAGTGTATGTTCAGATACAGACCATGTGAGGGTGTAGTAACAGTGTATGTTCAGATACAGACCCTGTGGGGGTGTAGTAACAGTGTATGTTCAGATACAGACCATGTGAGGGTGTAGTAACAGTGTATGTTCAGATACAGACCCTGTGAGGGCGTAGTAACAGTGTATGTTCAGATACAGACCATGTGAGGGTGTAGTAACAGTGTATGTTCGGATACAGACCATGTGGGGTGTAGTAACAGTGTATGTTCAGATACAGACCATGTGGGGTGTAGTAACAGTGTATGTTCAGATACAGACCATGTGGGGTGTAGTAACAGTGTATGTTCAGATACAGACCATGTGAGGGTGTAGTAACAGTGTATGTTCAGATACAGACCCTGTGAGGGCGTAGTAACAGTGTATGTTCAGATACAGACCATGTGAGGGTGTAGTAACAGTGTATGTTCAGATACAGACCATGTGGGGTGTAGTAACAGTGTATGTTCAGATACAGACCATGTGAGGGTGTAGTAACAGTGTATGTTCAGATACAGACCCTGTGAGGGCGTAGTAACAGTGTATGTTCAGATACAGACCATGTGAGGGTGTAGTAACAGTGTATGTTCAGATACAGACCATGTGGGGTGTAGTAACAGTGTATGTTCAGATACAGACCATGTGAGGGTGTAGTAACAGTGTATGTTCAGATACAGACCATGTGAGGGCGTAGTAACAGTGTATGTTCAGATACAGACCATGTGAGGGTGTAGTAACAGTGTATGTTGAGATACAGACCATGTGGGGTGTAGTAACAGTGTATGTTCAGATACAGACCATGTGAGGGTGTAGTAACAGTGTATGTTCAGATACAGACCATGTGGGGTGTAGTAACAGTGTATGTTCAGATATAGACCATGTGGGGTGTAGTAACAGTGTATGTTCAGATATAGACCATGTGGGGTGTAGTAACAGTGTATGTTCAGATACATCCCCTGGGGGGTGTAGTAACAGTGTATGTTCAGATACAGACCATGTGGGGGTGTAGTAACAGTGTATGTTCAGATACAGACCATGTGAGGGTGTAATAACAGTGTATGTTCAGATACAGACCATGTGAGGGTGTAGTAACAGTGTATGTTCAGATACAGACCCTGTGGGGGTGTAGTAACAGTGTATGTTCAGATACAGACCATGTGAGGGTGTAGTAACAGTGTATGTTCAGATACAGACCCTGTGAGGGCGTAGTAACAGTGTATGTTCAGATACAGACCATGTGAGGGTGTAGTAACAGTGTATGTTCAGATACAGACCATGTGGGGTGTAGTAACAGTGTATGTTCAGATACAGACCATGTGGGGTGTAGTAACAGTGTATGTTCAGATACAGACCATGTGGGGTGTAGTAACAGTGTATGTTCAGATACAGACCATGTGAGGGTGTAGTAACAGTGTATGTTCAGATACAGACCCTGTGAGGGCGTAGTAACAGTGTATGTTCAGATACAGACCATGTGAGGGTGTAGTAACAGTGCATGTTCAGATACAGACCATGTGGGGTGTAGTAACAGTGTATGTTCAGATACAGACCATGTGAGGGTGTAGTAACAGTGTATGTTCAGATACAGACCCTGTGAGGGCGTAGTAACAGTGTATGTTCAGATACAGACCATGTGAGGGTGTAGTAACAGTGTATGTTCAGATACAGACCATGTGGGGTGTAGTAACAGTGTATGTTCAGATACAGACCATGTGAGGGTGTAGTAACAGTGTATGTTCAGATACAGACCATGTGAGGGCGTAGTAACAGTGTATGTTCAGATACAGACCATGTGAGGGTGTAGTAACAGTGTATGTTGAGATACAGACCATGTGGGGTGTAGTAACAGTGTATGTTCAGATACAGACCATGTGAGGGTGTAGTAACAGTGTATGTTCAGATACAGACCATGTGGGGTGTAGTAACAGTGTATGTTCAGATACAGACCATGTGGGGTGTAGTAACAGTGTATGTTCAGATACAGACCCTGTGGGGGTGTAGTAACAGTGTATGTTCAGATACAGACCCTGTGAGGGCGTAGTAACAGTGTATGTTCAGATACAGACCATGTGAGGGTGTAGTAACAGTGTATGTTCAGATACAGACCATGTGGGGTGTAGTAACAGTGTATGTTCAGATATAGACCATGTGGGGTGTAGTAACAGTGTATGTTCAGATATAGACCATGTGGGGTGTAGTAACAGTGTATGTTCAGATACATCCCCTGGGGGGTGTAGTAACAGTGTATGTTCAGATACAGACCATGTGAGGGTGTAGTAACAGTGTATGTTCAGATACAGACCCTGTGGGGGTGTAGTAACAGTGTATGTTCAGATACAGACCATGTGAGGGTGTAGTAACAGTGTATGTTCAGATACAGACCCTGTGAGGGCGTAGTAACAGTGTATGTTCAGATACAGACCATGTGAGGGTGTAGTAACAGTGTATGTTCAGATACAGACCATGTGGGGTGTAGTAACAGTGTATGTTCAGATACAGACCATGTGAGGGTGTAGTAACAGTGTATGTTCAGATACAGACCATGTGGGGTGTAGTAACAGTGTATGTTCAGATACAGACCATGTGGGGTGTAGTAACAGTGTATGTTCAGATACATCCCCTGGGGGGTGTAGTAACAGTGTATGTTCAGATACAGACCATGTGGGGATGTAGTAACTGTGTATGTTCAGATACATCCCCTGGGGGGTGTAGTAACAGTGTATGTTCAGATACAGACCATGTGAGGGTGTAGTAACAGTGTATGTTCAGATACAGACCATGTGGGGATGTAGTAACTGTGTATGTTCAGATACAGACCATGTGAGGGTGTAGTAACAGTGTATGTTCAGATACAGACCATGTGGGGTGTAGTAACAGTGTATGTTCAGATACAGACCATGAGGGTTGTAGTAACAGTGTATGTTCAGATACAGACCATGTGAGGGTGTAGTAACAGTGTATGTTGAGATACAGACCATGTGGGGTGTAGTAACAGTGTATGTTCAGATACAGACCATGTGAGGGTGTAGTAACAGTGTATGTTCAGATACAGACCATGTGGGGTGTAGTAACAGTGTATGTTCAGATACAGACCATGTGGGGTGTAGTAACAGTGTATGTTCAGATACAGACCCTGTGGGGGTGTAGTAACAGTGTATGTTCAGATACAGACCCTGTGAGGGCGTAGTAACAGTGTATGTTCAGATACAGACCATGTGAGGGTGTAGTAACAGTGTATGTTCAGATACAGACCATGTGGGGTGTAGTAACAGTGTATGTTCAGATATAGACCATGTGGGGTGTAGTAACAGTGTATGTTCAGATATAGACCATGTGGGGTGTAGTAACAGTGTATGTTCAGATACATCCCCTGGGGGGTGTAGTAACAGTGTATGTTCAGATACAGACCATGTGAGGGTGTAGTAACAGTGTATGTTCAGATACAGACCCTGTGGGGGTGTAGTAACAGTGTATGTTCAGATACAGACCATGTGAGGGTGTAGTAACAGTGTATGTTCAGATACAGACCCTGTGAGGGCGTAGTAACAGTGTATGTTCAGATACAGACCATGTGAGGGTGTAGTAACAGTGTATGTTCAGATACAGACCATGTGGGGTGTAGTAACAGTGTATGTTCAGATACAGACCATGTGAGGGTGTAGTAACAGTGTATGTTCAGATACAGACCATGTGGGGTGTAGTAACAGTGTATGTTCAGATACAGACCATGTGGGGTGTAGTAACAGTGTATGTTCAGATACATCCCCTGGGGGGTGTAGTAACAGTGTATGTTCAGATACAGACCATGTGGGGATGTAGTAACTGTGTATGTTCAGATACATCCCCTGGGGGGTGTAGTAACAGTGTATGTTCAGATACAGACCATGTGAGGGTGTAGTAACAGTGTATGTTCAGATACAGACCATGTGGGGATGTAGTAACTGTGTATGTTCAGATACAGACCATGTGAGGGTGTAGTAACAGTGTATGTTCAGATACAGACCATGTGGGGTGTAGTAACAGTGTATGTTCAGATACAGACCATGAGGGTTGTAGTAACAGTGTATGTTCAGATACAGACCATGTGGGGGTGTAGTAACAGTGTGTGTTCAGATACAGACCATGTGGGGTGTAGTAACAGTGTATGTTCAGATACAGACCATGTGGGGGTGTAGTAACAGTGTATGTTCAGATACAGACCATGTGGGGTGTAGTAACAGTGTACGTTCAGATACAGACCATGTGGGGTTTAGTAACAGTGTATGTTCAGATACAGACCATGTAAGGGTGTAGTAACAGTGTATGTTCAGATACAGACCATGTTGGGGTGGCACCACTCCATCCAGCAGAGTTTCTTCCCATCCGGTGATGCTTGAGGACAGCTGTAGAAGTCATTTCCGCTCACCTACACAACAGCCATACAGACACAGTGACATTTACAGGAAGGCTGGCAACCATCCTTGATCATCCAGTGTGTTAAATCTCCAAACTGTTATAATAAATACCCTAGACCGATCCACAACCATACATTTGTTTTGAGTCTGTCTCTGAAGACAAAACACTAAAATAGGCGTCCTATCAAATTATGTTTTTCACGATTTGTTTAAGTATATCAAAGGGTCGCAGGGATGAAAGCATGATTTTGAATGTAGATCAAAGCCGAACTCGCATTCTGAAGAGTCTCTTGTGATTGCCTCTTATTTCATGTTCATGAAATGAGAGACATTCTGTTCCAAACTAGTGATGGGCGAGATGGCCTAGGTGACATCACTCCAAACACCAACTATATGGTGGCACTTGGTTCCAGGGTATACAGCCCAACAGAATGAAGATATGATACACTTGATTATCATGAATGGGGTGTGCTGCAGTTGGCAGTTGGTTTTGATTTATTGCATCCTCTATTGTTAATCCTCCACCTACTATATATATTCTGTACTATGTCCCTCATTCAGTCTTGCTTGACAACGGTATAAGGATCTATACCGAAACGTCGCTTTTTACAGTATTAAAGAAGTTGTTATCCATAAAATTGTGTCTACCTTATTGCAATAATGATTTATGCATTGTGATACTATCACAATATATTGCAGGCATTCTTTCATCCGTAATTTGTTATGAGCCTGAATAAAAATAACCCAGATGGACCCGGCACAATTTGGACAACTTTGTAGTCGTACGACATGTTGTTGGATGTTGCTATGGTCACACCACATGCGTAGTAGAAACATTATATACAGGAAGCTGGTTACAAAAGTTTTGCGTTTTTGATCAAAGGAATCAGTAGCTAATTTCTGACCTTCATAATTTCAATTTGACTTGTCACTTATGTAAACTTTGCCAACAAGATGAAAATATGCATGATATTGAAAAATGCAATGCAATACAATACAATATTTTCCAAACATACTATCACACATATTCATTAGTATTTCAAATTGAGGTACCACACACCTCTAGCACCAAGGTATTTCTTCAATCAAGACTGTGTGTCAGTTCAAGCATGGCCCATGTATCAACTGACATTCGTAATAATGCATCTAAAAGAAAAGGACAGAGAATGCTGTCACCTACCAGTACGCTTTGTGTCTTTGTTGCCGGGTTGATGGACACAATGGTGTTGGTGGGCTCCTTTGCTTTCTTCTCCTCTACAGGCTCATGATCTTCTCGGATGCTGTAGATCCGGGATTTCTACCCACAAAATAACTACATGATAAAAAAAATAACAATATCGGAAAAGAACAACTCTATATTTGGATACCAACAGTAGTTCAAGTAAGTTCATAGAGACCGAAAATATTGCCAGTCCAAAAACATATGACCTAGGCCCACTTGCACAAAACCATCTTAGCGTTAAGATTATCTTAAGCCTATGTTAAAGTATAGGAGTTACAACCATCTTAGCGCTAAGAACGCTTTTTGCAAGTCGGCCCTGGACTTTCATCACACCTTGAACATGTTGAACACATTGTCAAATGAACTTGAACAGGTGACTATTTGAAAAAAACACAGGAATAAAGTATCGAAACAAAATGTTCTTTTCCTACCTGCTCTGAATATGTACCGTCTGCATAGCGCCATTTCCTGGCTGTATCAACGACAGCCTCCGGAGCCTCGCTAGGACCCTTCTGAATGTACAGCTGCTGGTCAGTGAAGTTGGAGAAGTACACGGCTCCATCATTGACAAAGTAAGTACCACCACCGTATTCATGAACTGTGCTGCGAACATTAAACCCCTCTGGTGTCCATGTCTGTACCTTCCCTGATGACTTGTCAACAGAACACACGACTGATCTGCCTTTCTCTTCTGGGCGGGCCTCAGTCCAGTACACTACATCTGGAAAAGGATAAAGAGAGTGAGTTGGGTTTAACGCTGCTTTTAACATTATTCCAGTTATATCGCGGTGTGACAGCTTAATGTGGGAGGAAAGTCCGAAGTAATGAAGGTCTCCGATGTTTACCCCTTTGGTGAAACCCACAAGCACAGGTATGGTGCTGACAAACCTAGAAACATAATTTGGGCAAAGCGGGATTCGAATCCACAATCATAGGTTTCTGACGTGCCCAAGGGACGCAACTCTGCACAGTGAATCGCAGCACCTTAGACGACTGGGCCACCCGTGCCCCCAGGATAAAGAGAACTACGGTCAGCTGTCATTGGAGAGAAAGAAATAACCCTTGCCCATTGTTCAAAGGTATCTTTACTGCTATAGAAATGACCTATGTGCAGCATACCTTAAAATAGTCGAACCTTAATTGTTGTGTCGAACTCGTGGGGACCTGAGAAAAAGTTCGAGAAAACCAACAAAGCGAATTTTCGAAAACCAATCATCAGGTTATGAGAGATTAAATATTACCAGGTCCAGACGAACACTGGATTGTCGTCATTGTTTAAGTCATATCTCAAATAATAGATTCACTAACATAATCTCATCTGTCTTACTCGTTTCTCAATGTTCCCGATCATCGGCAGTCACATGAGTAACTTGCCAATATGTATGCAGTAATCAGCTTGCACCATTGATGTAAGGTGTGCGTATTAATTAGGCTTGATTGGATATTGGCATGTTGTTATAAGGTATCCTGCCTTTGATGTAATTGCATCAATAGCAATGAGGTCCGACAATTATGTGTGAAGTGAGTTAAACGTTGAAAGTTTTTCGAGTGTAGGTGTGTGAACGTTCAAGTCATCAGGGGATATGCTTAATTTCTATATACTTGGGTTTCCCAAATGAGTTTGAGACAACTGGGATTTTGACATATCCATTTTGATAGATCCAAGTACAAATGATGATAAACATAGTAGGAATACGCATTGACTGGAAGGGGAGTTAGAGACAGGTTGCAGTCAAAATGGCCTCAAAACTCACATGTCAAAATGGCCACAAGAAAGTCAGAATGGCCACAAAAAAAGTCAGGATGGCCATGATAATAATTGACTTTACTGCATTTTAGGTTGATATTACATCTCTACCAATCCATGCGATATATGTGTTTTCAATCATGTATAGCTTGTGGCCAAGTTCTAAACAACGAGGTTGACTATATCATACCTTAATAGTAGGGCTGTTACAATTCACTCGCGTATTCGTGGACACTAGAATCGAATATTTATGAATATGCAAGCATGTGCATTTACATAAAAAAATACCCATAAGAACATATTTTATGCATAGATTTCTTCAAAGGACAACACTCTTATACTATTTAATTTGACAGTATTGTGGTCACTGGTCATTGTCGCATTTGAGCAGATACTAGTACCTGGATAAGTGCAGTATATAAATTAATAATAAATTAATAATATATTAATAATATATTAATAATTAACAAACCATGTCAAATAATTTATGTTGTTGTTGCCTCACTGAACATGCTGAATATGACAAATAATACATCAACCGCTGACTTGTTATTGTATTACTGAATTAATATTCGTATTCGCTACCCTATATTCATGATACAAATCGTATTCACCTCATAGCGTATTCGTTGCAGCCCTACTTAATAGCGAAGTTAGTCCCTTGGCTGCATCGTGTATCTAATTTTATCATACTGATTTGACATTATTAAACATTGTTAAACTATTATTTTCCAGAATATGTCACCCCACCCTATGACCCAATTTATATTTATCTTTTTAAACATAAAATAAACATAGCTGAAATAAATATATATATATATATCTTTTTATCAAACCTGCCTACATGTAGACGAAGATACTTCGTCACCCAATACAAAGACAGTCAAATTAAAGCGTTTGCTTTATGTGTAAAGATCTTCAAATGAATTAAGGGGTGTGACGCCGAAGGTCCAGCGAGTTCGAAATCAACTGGTGACAACATCACTTGACACCGGTTCTTAGTGTCTTACTTGAATTTTTCGAGTTGAAGTCAACCCTTAGTTCCTGCAGGGTGACACCACTAGCAGTGACCAGCTGGCTCGTTATTGGCGACTTCCAAGTCCCATACGGTGACACGGACATTGTGCAACTTGTTTTATAGCCTGAAACGAAAAGAGATATGCTACATTGACTATGACCTGCCGTACCCCGGAACAGAGGTATTAGTTCAAATTGGCATCCGGTAATCAAAAACGGATTATGAATCATATCATTCCAGCAAATTTGAATGTGGCTATCTCTGATAGGTGCCACCAAATAGACATTAAGTATCCAACGTTTACTGTGTAATAGGGTAGTAGCTAGGAATTTGTCGTTTTGATTCAGCGATGGTATTACATTCATGTAGTATTATTTCGTTTCATCCAAGGTCCGCACTACAGTACATCTATTAGCAGACAACAGCCCGGTGAGCCCGGTGATCACATGGGTCGCTTTTGCATGGTCGGTCTTACGAGGGGTTTCCCCTAAACCACTTAGGGTTATCGTATTTGGTTGAAATTTCACATGTGTAATGATACATGTATCTATGGGTTTTGTCTGAATTTGCAGCACCGAACTATTAATCTTACCACTTTTACAGGTGTTATGATCGAGTAGGGTGTGACAATGGAGCCAGTAGAATACCGAGCAGTGATTAGATTCTTATATTTGAAAGGTCGCACACCAAAAGAAACTTTCGATGAAATAAAAGCAACTTATGGGGAAGATGCCCCATCATATGACGTTGTTAAACACTGGCATCGCCAGTTCAGGTGTGGTCGGACATCTGTGGAAACAGCTACCATTCCTGGTCGCCCCCATTCAGCCATTGATGAGGACACTATCCATCAAGTGGAGACCGCCATTTTGGCAGACCGACGTATAACTGTTCGCCAGTTAGCACAAGATGTCAAGATCAGTGTAGGGTCTGTGGAAAAAATCATCCATGACAATTTGAACATGCATAAGGTGTCTGCACGATGGATTCCCAGGTTGCTCACACCTTTCCAAAAGCAGGAATGAGTCAATGTGCCAAAAAAACCAGGCAAACTTTTTTGACAGACTTATCACACAGGATGAAACATGGGTCCATCACTATGATCCTGAGACTAAAGTTCAGTCGATGCAATGGAAGCATGTGGAGTCACCACCCCCAAAGAAGGCACGTGTCCAACCCTCTGCAGGCAAGGTCATGCTCACAGTGTTTTGGGACCAGCACGGAGTAGTGATGATGGATTTCTTGGCAAAGGGTACCACAATTACAGGAGCTTATTATGCTTCACTGCTGCGGAAATTGTGGGACGATATCAAGCTTAAGAGGCGTGGCATGCTGACCAAGGGTGTCCGTCTCCTGCAAGACAATGCTCCAGTACACAACTCTCATGTTGCCCAGACAGAAGCGCGGTCCTGTGGCTATGAAATCCTTCCACATCCTCCTTACTCTACTGAGCTTGCACCATCTGACTTCCACCTCTTTCCAACCATGAAGTCATTTTTGAAGGGAAAACGTTTCACAGATGATGAAACACTGATTTAGTCCTGGTTTGAGATGCAAAATGAGGGCTTTTACAAGCGAGGTCCCATAGTTGCATAAAACGAAGGGAGAAGTGTGTAAATCTTGGTAGTTCCTATGTGGAGAAAGACTAATACCTATGCCAAGTTTCATTTCACTAGGTCCATCGGAAGTGGGTCAGGGGAAATCTTTAATGAACACCCCTCGTATGTTAAGACCTATATATAAGAAGATTTTTTTCAAGGTTCTATTTTCATGAGTGCTAATATTCATAGACCATTCGTGAGTCATAAGAATCTTTCATTTTCTTAGACCGAAATAAGAAATGCAATCATAGTGTTTGCATGTTTTATGCATCTTATATGACTAGTGTATTTTTATTTTAAAGCATCTATCATGTCTATAGGGGAAAGAAGATGTACTGGCCTATAGAACTTTATGTAGATCTAAACAAACGTTACCTCTATGACGAACTATTTGAACTACTCGTTGTTTTCGTATCCAAATATTTCTCTGAAACCACTGATGTTCAGTACGGTAGTTACTCAGAGATTGAAAAATGATGCGTTTGGGACTTCCTTCTAGAATTGCCTTGAATATACAGTTCATTCTTGACGATCATGTTCTGAAAAGGAAGGGGATAATTAAGAACCTACCTTTGTTGTTTAGCACAGCTTAATGTGAACCCCACGACTACTGCATATGAAGTGACAAACACTACTGCAATTGTATGTAACTGATTGCCTTCCTTGCTCACTGATTGCATCAATGTCATGTGTGTATAGATAGGAATGGAAATGTCTTGCTAAACCAACTTTCATATTTATTTATAGCTTGCATTGTTATTAGGGCTGTTATGATTCACTCCTGTATTCGGTGAATTGAACCGTATCCATTCATGAATTGAATTCATTATTCGTGGCCACTAGAATCAAATATTTATAAATATGCAAGCATGTGCATTTACATAAAAATACCCATAAGAACATATTATATGCATAGATTTCTTCAAAAGACAACACTCTTATACTATTTAATTTGACAGTATTGTGGTAACTTGTCATTGTCGCATTTGGGCAGATAATAGTACCTGGATAAGTGCAGTAATTAAATGTATAGTATATTAATAATTAACAAAACATGACAAATAATTTACCAGTATTTTGTTATTGCTTCACTGAATATAACAAATACTACATCAGCTGCTGACTTGTTATTGTATGCGTGAACTAATATTCGTATTCATTACCCTATATTCATGATACAAATCATATTCGCCTCATAGTGTATTCGTTGCAGCCCTAATTGTTATCATTGCAGAGCTCCAGATAAGCTTTTTGTGTTGTGGGTATTTTACCCATGCATTTTAAAATCATTGGGTATCAGTAATTCTATCTTGGTATTCAAATTTCTGTTACCCACCAGTTTTTACACATGTGGGTATCTAAGTTAAATATTTAAAAACACTATTCATCTAGTCCTTGCAAACTGGTGTCGTGTTGGACTAATAGGACTAAAAAATACCACGATACTTCCACAAGAAAGTGTGATGGCAAATGATCATGATGTAACTGTCATCGTGGAGTTTGGCAAGGTTGACAGAATGCCCGTTTATAATTTCAAAATAAGTTGCTGATTTGCTAATCGAATACACAGGGTTACTTCACAATATTTTGATGATACGCACAAGTTTAATTTTGTAGCGTATCTGTAATGTTCGTTGCGTATTTGATACGCTTGGATTTTATTTTACTGCATATTTCTTCATTTCTGATGCGTATTTTACGCAGATACGCAGCTTATCTGGAGCTCTGAGTTATGTCTAACAGACTGACAGATTTATTGAGCAGTTCAAATGTAACTTCATGTGAGACTAGACCGCCTCCGTGGTCTAGTGGTAGAGCGTCCGCCCGGAGAGCGGAAGGTCTGAAGTTCAATCCCCGGCCGCGTCATACCAAAAGACGTTAAAAGATGGTACTTGTTGTTACCCTGTCTGGCGCTCAGCATTAAGGGGCTAAAACAAGGACTGGTCGGCTCGGAGTCCGTATACTGTGTCTGAGTGGGGTATTCATGTTAAACTGCAGCATGGTATCTCAGTGAGCTAGCACTATAAATCGGCATCAGTCCGGACTAGTACAGGCAGCCACACACACACATACATGTGCATGCACGTCGCCATTTAAGCGCAATAATCTTGGACGCGACGTTAAACCCAATTTCACCTCACCTCATGGGAGACTACAGCTATGGTTTTCAGCCTCGATGGGCCGAAGGGCAATCATTTAATTTCAAAACTTTGATACAAATGTATGTTGTTGGCCACGTTGTGTCATGTAGTAATTGAGAATTAATTGTATTACCTAGAGATAGTGACTGAACTGGTTACCAGGTAACTTCAGACAATCAAAACATGAGACCTGCTTATATGGGATATACATGTACATGTATATTCATTCCATTTAAAAACACCTGATTAATGATTTATCATGATTATCTGCCAACCACTTCATAATCATGTTAAACAAGATTATGATACAATAATTCCTACATAAACAATATTTAATTTCATAAACATTGTATTCTTTATGAATTAGACATAAGAAATAATTGTTTTGATTGTCCATATCAATTGATCTTAATATGTCAATTGACCAGAATCATTTCCTACACTTTAAGAGTGACTTTACTCTTGCAAATGTAAAGTCTGACGGAAGCTCTATTAAACACTTCTTAAAGCTAAAATCAGAGACCATGATCTCTGCTAAATTGAATAGAATTATCATTAAACCGCCCGTGTGTTATCAGAAATCGGAGGGCCACTGTAACTTGTTAATGCCCCCATATTGCTTGATGACGGGCCATTATCATGCCCGTTGTTAGGTGACGTCATAGGATAGGGATAGTGACGTCACGTTTAATAGTGACATCATCTGGTTTGTTCTATGACGTTTCCATACTTGTAAAAGTGGGTCAGTGACATTCGTGTTGATTGCAATAAATGTTTCAAAACCGATATTGATGTTTCTTTTTATTTGATAACAAATTCCATCCATTTTAGCTATAATAAGGCTATTTTTCAGGGCATTATCATTTGCAGAAACCCTCGGTATTTTCAATTGTCCTCCTTCGTCAGGCAGTTAATTGAAGACCTCGGGCTACTGCAAATGATAATGCCCTGAAAAATAGCGTTACCCTTATAATAAACTTTAATTATATGAAATATGTAAATTTAATGATTACCCCAATTACATAAACTCTATCTTGATGTCTGTTTCATATATCAGACAAATTATGTCTCAGTTTGAGCTGTAAATGGGCACCGCATCGTGGAGCATTGTCCTGCAAAAGTAGCAATCACAAGACTGATTTACAACTCTTTATCTGGGGGTAAACAGAGAACTAGAAATACACAGACAGTAAAGTCATGCACAAAGGAAACATAAATCATAAGACTGGGAGAGGGTGGGGGTTGCGGTGTCTGTTGCACATGCACTTAGGTTATTCAGAGTTGTAAGTTGTAGCAAAATTTACCATGAAGTGTTGAGATACCCCAATAAAAGAGTTTATATCTTTCCTTAAAGCCTGGGGACTTTGCAACACTCTTATTAATAACAATTTGGAAAGGTCAAGGTTACTCTCAAGATCATTTTAGTATGTCATATACGCTGCAAGAAGTTGTTTCACAAAACTAAAGTGTGTGCTGTACATGTTGTTGAAATCCCGAATGCGGAACCTTGAACTAATAAGATTTGGCTTTAATTAATCACTGTGAAGGTTTTGAATGAAGTAGACTTATTCACATGAAAACTTTGTACATGACTGTTTTTTAATGTCTGTTGTTTTTATTCTAGGTCAATTTGCTCAGCTGGTCTTTTTCATTAAAAATAAATTATGGTTATGCACATGCTATTAAAATAACTCTGTGTTTTGGATAGTTGTTTTTAGAACCTATTTACAACCAACAATACAAATGTCTTTACAAACTTCTTTATTATGAGGAACACAGTGTTTCCAGCCATGACATATCTACCTAGTGCTTGGGACTTATTAATTTATTAATCTGTGCCCCTTCAAGGCTAATTAATTCAGCTGGCTTCCATTGCTAATCACCAATCAGTGCTAATTACCCCCTTGCTTCTATATGTCCATTGTTTATTACTATTAGTTCTGATTTAAATCCTGGCTTCCATTTGTCCATTGCTAATCACCAATCAGTGCTAATTACCCCCTGACTTCTATATGTCCATTGTTTATTACTATTAGTTCTGATTTAAATCCTGGCTTCCATTTGTCCATTGCTAATCACCAATCAGTGCTAATTACCCCCTGACTTCTATATGTCCATTGTTTATTACTATTAGTTCTGATTTAAATCCTGGCTTCCATTTGTCCATTGCTAATCACCAATCAGCACCAATTAACTGTTGGCTTTGCTTGTAATGTTTCCACCTTTGTTAGCTTATTATGTTGGTTGTTTTTACATGCACATATATGTATGCTCTCTGCATCCTAGCAATCGTTCACCTGATGAAGGAGTAAGCATATATATACGGCAAAATGTTGTGTTCCTTGTAATATGGAAGCTGGCATCCATAAATTCTTTCTCTTATATGTGGGGCATATTTATCACCCATGAAATATTTAAGATGCTGTGTACTCTCATAAACATGATGAAACATTCTATTTTTGTTTAAGGAACTGAATGCATAGGAGGATGGATCACATAAAATCTTGGCTGGGTATACAAAATCCTACTGAATCTCCACTGGTCTACAACCAACAGGAGCCCAAATCTCATCCTGCATCGAACGATACACCCAAATCATCTGTTAAGACGGACATAGAGATACATTCAGTGAGTCGAATAGAACCAACAACTGCTAGTGAGAGACTGGAGCTGATCGGACAAGATGTACGGGATGTTGTAGCAAGAGTTATTCCCCTTGAGGAAGATGACTGCCTCAGCTGTAAACTGATTGGTTCAACAACTCTCTACGCGGCATCTGTGTTTGTATTTAGAGGGGGGATGAGGTTCAGGAAGCAGTTTACTGGATTCAGGAGAGGCTGTGCCACTGCAAGTTATTCATCATTTGCTTTTGGTGAGACATTATAATATTTGTATTCCTTTATTTAAAAAATCTGACCATTTTTGTTCTTGTTTTAAGGCAATCTCATTAAACTCAGATTTTAGTTCTTACTACTGCTAAACAAAATCTGTGGACATCCCATTACAGATCATGTCAGAATTACCTTTTGCGAACTTTGGCCCGACCAACATGAAGCCAACATTAGCCATTGCGAAAAGCAGCTTACTCAAGCTTTACAGCACTACATTTTAACTGACGACTCTATGGTTTGATAATATTTCAACAAAGTTGTACATTCAAAATTTGAAAACTGGACAAGTGAAACTTCTGGAATGTCTGAGATTGTATGGCAGTACTTCCCACAGGCTTTATGCCATTGAAGCGAGAGACGAACAATGATTTTGACAGAATCAGGTGTATAACCTATAACTGTCTTTTGGAATTCCTCATGTTAACCTTTTCAAGGTGGCATGACAAGAAAACACATTCCAACTGTCATTTTCCTGACTGATAGGTCGGATGAAGTGTTGTTCTTACAAAACCCGTAATGGGATGTCCTCAGGTCTTTGTTTAGCGGATGCAATAACTAAGATCCGAGTAAGGATAAGATTTATGGATGAACAACTTCTTTATAACAATTAGGAGCGACGTTTCGGTGTAGGTTCTAACAACGTTATCAAGCAAGTTATCTTTGCTTGATAACGATGTTAGAACCTACACCGAAACGTCGCTCCTAATTGTTATAAAGAAGTTGTTCATCCATATAACTTATCTTTACTTAGAACTCCAACTTCTAAATGCCTCTCAAAGAAATTAAGATCTGATTTTAATAAGATTGGTTTTAAAGCTTTCCTTTGCCGATATGCATGAGTCAAAATACAAGTGTTTAGAATTGATTGGAGGTTATTAAGAGGAGCATATGTACGTCAATGATATTTAGAACTTGTTGAAGAACTTGTATACCAATTCATTGGTAAATTAGGTGTGTAATTTCAAGATATATTTAACTTCACAGTTGTAATCTCGGAGCAAATAAGTGTTGTTTTATACCAAAGTCAGCATTATGTCAGGCAAACCAGTGGTGAAAAGCATGAACAACAATCCATGTTGTTGGAGTACAAAGACACGGTAATTCAGGTCACATGAGATCCTCAGACATTGGTGGTGCGAGGCAAGTATGGAAATACCTATTTGACGCAAGCCTTATCTCAAAACACGATTATTTTTTATCCAAGCTTGTTACTATTCTAATTCTGTTTCTTCTTCTCCTCAGCTTTATTCCTGCTGGGAACCTCGCGGTTATTTGACCTGGGTATCTTCCAGAAGAACTCTAACAAAACCATATTCGAGATGGCTCAGGATGATTTGCAGTCAATGGTTGCCCTTGTACAGGGAAAATCTGATAAGAAAAACTAACATGTAACCATGGTAACCATGAAACAAGCAGGGATTGGTAGCTCATGGGAGAGTGCCCCGTGGGGATTGTAAAAAAGTTGTTGACATATGATAGGGTTTTATCATGTTCATATAGCCTTTCATAATCCCGTAGAAATCAATATGGCAATATATCTGTGGGAAGACATTGAACAGGAGCAACTGTGTTCAGGATGTTGGAGATGCTTGTGAAGAGTCATGCACATCAACATTAGTGATCTTATAGAAACATGTTTCCTGGTTGTCGGACTGTCCATTAATCCCAGTGTATGAAATTCCTCAAAATGTCAGCCAGACAACTGGGCCATAAACTTTGCACAGTTACCAGACCAGATAAAATGTTGCCAGACCGGAATTTTATAGACTTACATACAAAAGTAACAAAAGGGTACACATAAGAACAGTACTGTTTAATGTTAGTTCTCAAGAAAATAACAATAAACTGGTGGATTGTCAACTTAGTAACTTACTCCCTACTATTGACAACTTCTTTATTGTACTATGAAGATATCTTGTCTTTACTGATACTTACCAACTTCTATAAAAATGCCAATCAAACAGGAACTTGCTTGTATAAAATGACTTAATTGCAAAATATTAACCCACAAGAGAAAAGAGTGACGTGTCGGCTGATGTAAGTCGATTTTAGAAAAGCAATAAAATAATTATTGAACTGATTTCTTTGTTGCGTCATCTTTTCTATCAGAGAAGGAAAAACAAGCAAACTCAATACTATGGTTCCACTGACATATCTAAAACTTACTCCACAATGTACTGATCTTAAGATTTGTAACCAACATTTTTCAACAGTGCAACAGTAGATATTTATGTTGGGCACAGCATCTTTCAAGTTGCCTAAAGGTGAAATCTAAGTGTTAGCCATTATGGTTGATGAAATCAAGTAAATTGGCATCACAATAGATCTTATACCTATTATTTGAGATGAGGTGAAGTGAAATGGGGTTAAACATTGTGTCCAAGATTATTGCACTTATAAAGCTGTGTGTGTGTGCGGGCAGGCGCACATGCGCACTATTCCAGACTGATGCGGATTTAAAGTGCTAGCCCACTGAGATACCATGCCGCAGGTTAACATGAATACCCCACTCAGACACAGTATACTGACTCCAAGCCGACCAGTCCTTGTTTTAGTCCCTTAATGCCGAGTGCATCTAACATCTTCTAATCGAGTACTCTCCCCCCACAAAACATAGCCAACATCTGACCATCTTCCTGAGGGAAGGGCATTAACTGATTGTAAAAGTCCAGTTTTCACCCTTGCCGAACTAGGCTGGGATTCCGGTATATGTTTTGGCTGGACTAATGAGTCTATGCACAGTCCAATCAAAATTGCGTAACGAACTAGACATCCGGTTCGTAAACAACATGGATTTCAACGTGCAGATTTCGGTCAACTGGAGAATTTACAAAGTATGTGTACTATCAACTGGGTGTCAACAGATGTCTTGCAAATGTTTTCATGTTATTAATCTAGGTGCTCAGGTAATTTGAAGCACATTGCGGGGTAAGACCCGTTTTATTACAATATAGATTTGATTATCAATCAGATTGTCTTGACTGGGCGCTGCTCTTTTGTTTGAAGTACATGCAAGGGATATGAGAGATAGAATCTGATTCGTCAATAGGAGGGACATAGAAGGGACAACACGTAATAGCCACTAGTGGCACTACGACCGAGCCTTGAAATTGCAGCCTAGTCTGGCAAGGGTGGAAACTGGATTTTTATAGTTTATAGTCAGTTAACGCCCTTACCTTGAGAAGATGACATCTGACAGATTGTTACAGATTTATAAGATGCAACATTACAAAACCAATGTGTAATATTTTTGTCTTTATATCTTATTTACAACAACGCCTGTTGCCAATTTAACTCCATAATGGCCATGCTCACAGCTGCAGTGCTTACATCATCACTTCACAAACATCAGAACAAATTCACTAAGTTTTGTTTGTGGCTTCCATATTCTTGCCTGCATGTCCATAGTTCACAAAGTCTGAATATACAAGCAGTAGCAGTCCTGCCTCCTGCTCAAATACCGATCAATACAGGAGCAGATCCAATGAATGTACCTTTGAAGCAATCTTTATGGGCAGCCAAGAGGCAAAACAGAGTCAACAGTTTGAACCAATCTCATTAAAAATCAGACCTCAGTTCTCGCTACCGGGGTCACGTCAGGACAACCTTTCATCCAACCAATCAGAGCATCGCTTACCAGATTTATGAAAGTGACAGTCGGAATGTGATTTCTAATCATGCAACCTCGATAACTTTAACTCCGAACGATAGTTACAGGTTTAACGACTGAATCCATAAATATAGACCATCTATTAGCCATTCCAGAATGTTCTTTTGTTCAGGTTTCAAATCTGTAATCGTGAATTTGTCAAAAAATGTTTCAAAGTGTAGTCGCCAATTTGAAATTAGTGCCGTAAAGCACGAGAAAGCTGCCTTCTGATTGGTCATTCCATTTGTCGGTCAAAGTTTTCGCAAGGTCAGTCTGACATGACCCATAATGGGATGTCCTCAGATCTTTGTTTAGCGGTAGCGAGAACTAAGATCTGATTTAAATGAGATTGCAGTTTGAACTTTATAACTAACCCTAAAGTCTATACTTTTGCACAACATATGATGTCATCAAAAGTAGAACTGTACAACCTCAGTCTGCCAATAACATAGATGGTGTTTACAGTGCTAGGAAATGTACTGTTAAAAATTCTAGGAGCAAGATTGAAGTATGAAGGTGAAATCAACATTTAATATACTCAACAACAAAAGTTCCTGTGACACCAATATTTTAGTGTATTTTTCAAACAAGTAAAGTTTGGTTTTCAATATTGTAGTACATGTATGGAATCAAGTCACAAAAACGCAACTGCTACAGAAAAGCATGCAATCCATGCAAAAGTTGACTTTTATGCAAGCCCCATGCATTTCACTACCCAAGAATGGGTATAAAAACATGTGCATTAACAGGATTCCATAGGCATTGTTTAGAATCGTGCTGACAACAACCACTCAGAAAAACAACAAAACAAGAGTTTGCCACTAACGTGGCTATATCCCCCGCCCCTGTTGCAGAATTTATGACATAATTAAATCTAAACAAACCCTAACCTTTTTTAACCAAGGTGGAACTTGTCATGGAAATTGTAAACAAGAGTCATCAGAAAGATGACATATCCCCCCGGCAGCTGTCTGTAAAGTAACCACTAGTAAATGTGCAATTCTGTATGTAATGAGTCAACAGTTGAATGTTCTTTTAGAAGCATACATTGTTTACCCACTGAATGGTTTTCGAATTCTGGCCTCGGAAACGAACCCGTTCCCCAATGGAGTCTAGGTCCAACTTCTTTCCATAAAAATTGTAAAAAATAAAAATTGTAAAAAAATAAAAATATCAAAAGGCATCACTTCAGTATGTGCCTGATAGTTTTGCCAAGTTTCGATCAAATACACTGAATGGTTTTCGAATTCTCCCCCGGAAACGAACCCCATCCCCAATTGAGTCTATGTCCAACTTCATTCCATAAAAATTTAAAAAAATAAAAATTAGAAAAATCCCAAAATATCAAAAGGCACCACTTCAGTATGTGCCTGATAGATTTGCCAAGTTTCGATCAAATACACTGAATGGTTTTCGAATTCTGCCCCGGAAAAGGAAATGATTACAGACAGACGGACAGACAGGCTGATCGCTACACCCCCCGCATTATATTCCAGGGGGATAAAAAAGGAAGAGTTTGGAACCTAAGTCAATCTTGCTGCCATGGAAACGTAAAAAAATAAAAATAGCAAAAGGCACCAGTTCAGCATGTACCTGACAGACCTGCAAAGTTTGATGAAAAAATATTGAACGGTTTATGAGTTATGCTCCGGAAACGAAACGTGACGGACGGACGGACGGAGCCCGTTTCTATATCCCCCGCCAACTTTGTTGGGCGGGAGATATTTACGCAATTATTCAACATTACGAAATGCCACGCCTGTCAGAAAATGAGTGTCTGCGAGCCATTGGTATGCTTGAAGCAGGATCGAATCAACGTGATGTTGCAAGACAATTTAACGTCCACAGAAACACCATTTGGTGTTTATGGCAACATTGGCAACAGACGAATGCAGTCAGAGACCATCCTCGGAGTGGGAGGCCATGCGTAACCAATAATCGACAAGACAACTGGATTAGTTTTTTGGGTTTGGTTTGATGTTCAACGCCGCACTAAGCAATTTTCCAGCCATATGACGGCGATCTGTAAAATAAGCTTGACCAGACAATCCAGTGATTGACATCATGAGCATTGATCCACGCAATTGGGATCGATGACATGTATCAAATAAGTCAGCGAGCCTGACCACCCGATCCCGTTAGTCGCCTTTTACAACAAGCATAGTCGCCTTTTATGGCAAGTATGGGTTGCTGAAGACCTATTCTACCCCGGAATTTTCACAGGTCACAACTGGATTCGAACAACACACCTACGAAATCGATTCCAGCCAGCAACAGTGACTGCAAGAAGCATCCCTGGCCTTCGTTGAATATCTTCACAAACCGTACGTCGTAGCCTCAGATGTGTAGGGATTGTCGCCAGAAGACCTGCCAGACGTCCCATTTTGAGAGGAAACCATCGTCAAGCACGTCTACAGTGGTGGTGACAGCATCTACGCTGGACGGCCATGCAGTGGGGACAAGTTCTTTTCATTGATAAGTCTCGTTTTCACCTCAGCCACAGCAATGGACGGATTGGAGTGTACCGACGTCGAGGTGAACGTTACGTCAATCATTGTGTCATGGAAGAAGATTGGTTCGGGGGCGGCAGCGTTATGGTATGGGGTGGGATTACAGCAAGACAGAGGACCTGTTTGATAGTGGTAGAAGGAAATCTCAATGGACAGCACTACCGCAACGAGAGCAACGGCCCTGTTTTTCTACCGTTTTTGAATCGTCATGGCCCAGGCATTACCTTTCAACATGACAATGCCAGGCCTCATATTGCTTGACTTGTTTAGGATCCCTTCAACAAAACAACGTGAATGTCATCCCCTGGCCGGCTCGCTCCCCTGATCTCTCACCGGGATGAGATGGATCGGCGCCTTCGACGTCAACCACGTGTTCCACAGACACTCCAGGAACTTCGAAACATGCTCCAGCAGATATGGACAGATATCCCACAGGACTTTGGTCCTTTCCATGAGACGAAGATGTGTTGCTTGCATCGCAACCATAGGTGGACACACACTATTGATTTGTAAATTGACATTTTGGCATGTTCATGTTTTTTTTTTATGAAATCACGCATTTTCTGAAGTTAGTATGGCAAATTAAACCATTTGAACACTTACAGGAAAGAGTCTTTTATCTGTTGCAAACTGAAATTGTTTCAGATTTGGTAAAAAACATAACTTTGCATTAAATCTTATTCAATGTCACAGGAACTTTTGTTGTTCAGTATATATACAACAAAATATAATATGGTTACCATAATGGCTATCTGATTTAAACCTCTTATTAACAAACATCCACACATTATTTCACCTGAATCCATCAGAGAAGAAGTCGAAAATGTAACATGGACAAGGCCAATGGATAACAACCCGCGATACTGAACTAAAAGTACATGAAAATGAAACAAAGGTTGAGTAAAACAAGACAACTGTTACAATATGGTAGTTACTTTGCTGTTAAATGTTTCCAATGAAAATCAGTACTCTCCTCGAACTCGAGCTGTCCTCACTACGTCATAAACATGTTACATACACAACATTTTAACAAACTCACTACAGAGGGAGTAAAGGGAGTAAAGCATCTTTAAAGGTGAGGTGAAGTGAGGTGAGGTGAGGTGAAATTGGGTTTAACGTCGCGTCCAAGATTATTGCACTTATATAGCGATGTGCATGCTCGTGTGTGTGTGGCTGCTTGTACTAGTCCGGACTGATGCCGATTTGTAATGCCAGCTCACTGAGATACCATGCCTCAGTTTAACATGAATACCCCACTCAGACACAGTGTACTGACTCCGAGCCGACCAGTCCTTGTTTTAGCCCTTTAATGCCGAGCACCAGACAGGGTAACAACAAGTACCATCTTTCAATGTCTTTTGGTATAACGCGGCCTGGTATCGAACCCCGGACCTTCAGCTCTACCACTACACCACGTAGGCGGTCGCATCTTTAAAGAGGGATTATATGCCTAACTATCTGCTGCACATTCCCTTTTTAGATCTAGATATGTTTCGTGCCATGTGTAAAAATGAAATATTGATATGACAAATTTAGATGGTGACATTACTTCCAAAAGGAAGCAATGGTGGTGAAGGTATTTATCATAATACAATGGAGATCTCATATCCTGTATAATCGAGGATGATCAAAACCTGAAATAGAAAGTATCAGATTCAATCGAATAGTCAAGCTCAACTTTGAGAATAATGAAAGTAATAATTTGCTTGATTTTGGAATGCATAAGATTTAAGCGTGGCTGATTTAGTTAGACATAAGCAGAGACAATACAAAACCTTACTGGAGCACATTGATGATTAATGATGAAGGTTTCAACATTTACCTGTATTATTAAAAATTCATTGAGTCAGTATGTTTGAAATGTCGACAAAGGTGCCATCGTCATCAAATTATTATTATGATTTTACAGAAATGGTCACTGCTTCCAATATTTACTGTTACGTGTTAAAATGTCATAACCAAGTGACATCGTATCCACACTGAAATGGCTCGCTCAGATATTCCTTGGTGGTATGCTAATCATAACGAACATTAGAGTGACCTCCCTTTGAAATTGACACTGAATGCGGGAAACATGAAGTAAACATTGAATCTCAACATGACAGATCACGACGACTACGTGTTGTCCAGATTGCCAGGACGCCTCGTAGAGCGACTTATGCCTTTCCAGAAAGATGGAGTCAAATTTGCAGTAAAAAAACATGGAAGGTATGTTTCTTATTTTGACTGATCATTTAGCCTAGCGGTCCGTATTTTTGTGTTACTTGTGATATATGTCTTACAGCTAGGGCTGGGACGGGTCAAAATTTACTACCCGGGTATCCACCACCCTATTACCCGACCCCACCCGGGTACCCGCTGTAGATATTCAAACTGTACGATTTGGAAAAGTTTGACCGTAGACCTGGCAAAATGTATTTAGATTTTCGTGTAAAACGATCCGCTCATGCATACACTGATGTTTAAGCATGAAGTTTTATCTTTATTCAAACATATAAAAGTCAGAAGGAATGGGTGCATTGTCAGAAAAAATGGGAACATCAGTGACTTATTGTGTAACCATAAGAGTTTTAGATAATTTTTGTCATTAAACAATATATATCACGTGACTAACCACAGGTCCGGGTACCCGAGTTACCCATCCCAGCCCTACTTACAGCCATTGTCTATATGTAAATTCATGAGAATTTATTTTCGGCATGCTTCTATAATACGTCACTGTAGTAATTAATATATTGAAGATGTTATTTTGGCCCCAATTTTTTTTGAAACGTTTAGACATTTAGACAGGCTTTAGACATGTAAAATAAATACAGTAAAAGAGCTGTAGCAAAATGTTATATTTCTCACGTACCGTTCTATAGTATACTACATGGTATGGTGGTATGATGTGAATCAATGCAACCTATCTGCAAATACAATTCCTGCCAGCTTCCAACGCTATCCCGGATGAGCCCCCAATTTCTGTTACGAGGTGAATTCCAAATACGAATGCAGCAGTTAATTTGGAAATCACCTCAATTTTTTATCCTACCCTGGTTTTTGGTTTGTTTGTTGTGTAACATCCCAGATTCCCACCCAGCTTTGCTTGGGACCTTTGTGATGAGACACTATTTAACATGTTTTAGCACAACACTCTGACACCCTAATAGAAGTATTATCACTGATCAGGGCCTATCTCACTGTGCAGTCTTTTTCATATGACTTGAGTAAATGTGTTTGTAATAATAATTCTTTGCTGTTACATATTGTTTCATAGTTAAACATGTTTTATAGATCATTATCTGATGTTGTCCTGATAGTGTATGTACGAACTTACATGTCAGGATGTGTTTACAAGTTCATATTGAATCAAATTGTGAAATGAAGTTTACTTTTTTTTTCAGATGCTTGATTGCAGATGAGGTGAGCAACTGAGTGTGTGTGTGTGGTGTGTGTGCGTGTGTGTGTGAATGCGCGCGCACCAGTCTCTGTGTGTGCATGCGTGTATGTGTATGCATGTGAGTATAATAAGGGGGTTCTGGGGTCGCTGAGATTTATTTCCTCAGTATTTCAGTTGACACATTAGGGACCCCTGAATTATTATCATCTTACTAAGTTTATGAAAATGACCCATTTCATTGGTGATTTCAAAGTCAAATGAGAGTGTTTTAATTGTCGACACTTGACCTGACTTCACAGATGGGCCTGGGGAAGACTCTACAGGCAATATCTGTAGCCTACTACTATCGCTGTGAATGGCCTCTGCTGATTATTGTGCCGTCCTCGCTGCGGTTCTGCTGGATAGAGGAGCTGGAAAAATGGCTGCCTGATGTCCACCCCAATGACATCAACCTCATCAGGGGAGGAACTGATGCAAGGTGATTAATATATATATGTGATAGGTACCGGTAATTATAATGATTTTGTGGTAATAGATAAATATTAATTACAAAAAAAAATTTCTTGTGGATATAATTATCGTCATGACCATACAAAAATTCTACAAGCTAAAGTACAACTATTTGTGCTGTTTCATTCCATTCCTACATTTGTTCATCTTCCCAAGGCAAGGGAGTTAAGTGACTGTAAAAGTCCAGTTTCCACCCTTGCCAAACTAGGCTGGAATTACTGTGTTTGATCGTAGCGCCATCAGTGGCTGTTATGAGTTATGTCCCATCTATGCCCCTCTCCTATCAAATCCACCTCTCATATAATTGCGTTTTCTTCAAACAAAATGGGGGCTCCAAGTCAAGATGATCTGATCAATGATCAAGATCTATATTGCAATAAAATGGGTCTTACCTCGCAAAGTGCATCAAATCACATGAGCCCCTTGATTAAAAACATGAAAAGATTTGGAAAATATCTGTCAACGCCCATTTGACGATACAGACAGACAGACAGACAGACATGTTTTATTGCATTTCAGGCCACATGACCAAAGTACAAATAGTATTACAAATACTTTTAGAGTTACCACTTCTTTCATATTGACTTATATTAATATATAAATATTAATGAGGTTAAGCAAAAGAAAATACATTCGAGAAACTTAGTAAATGGAACTAAAATATTAATATCTTTTGAGGTACACAAACTTTTAAGTGAGTAGTACTGGTTATTGCTTATTTTGACGATACACATCCTTTGCAAATCCTGCAGTTGACTGAAATCTGCATGTTGAAATCCATTTTGTTCATGGATCGGATGTCGATTTCATTTCGCGATTTTAATTGGCCTATGCATAGACTTGTTAGTCCAGTCAAAATATAACTCCATAATTCCAGTCTAGTTCGGCAAGGGTGGAAACTGGACTTTTACAGTCACTTAACTCCCTTGCCTTGGAAAGATGACATTTGATGTGGAAACATAATCTGTGAATTGATGTGTATGCTGTATTGGTGTAGTGGATAGAGCACCTGGCCAGAGAGTGGAAGGTCAGTGACTCTGTCTTACCAAAAGACGTTAAAAGATGGTGCTTGTTGTTACCCTGCCTGGTGTTCAACGTTAAGGGCATAAAACAAGGACTGGTCATTTCTGAGTCAGTATAATGTGTCTGACTGTGGTATCCATGTTAAACTGCGACATGATGAATACCACTGAAACCAACATATCTGGACTAGTACAAGAAGCCACACACAAATGCATGCATGCAGGCTCGCACACACACACTAGGGCATCACTGTATCAATGCAATAATCTTGAACAAGGCATTAAACCCCATTTCACCTTACTGATTATATGAAAAAAAGATATAGCTGTGGGAAAAATAAATAAACTAGATTACTTTTTTAATCAACACATTCTAAAATATTATGGCCAACAAATATGCATAATATCTTATATAAATCCAACATCAGTGGCATAGCGTCCTCTCGAGTCAGCATCGTGACGTATGGGCTGCTGAGTAAACAGTCCAGCAGCATTGTCCGGGAGGCACTCACCAATCAACACTTCAAGGTGATTATTTGTGATGAGTCTCACTACATCAAGAACACTCGGACTGCATCATCGAAAGCTGTCGTTCCGCTCATCAAAGCCGCCAGCCGACGCCTTCTGTTGTCTGGGACCCCTGCGCTGTCTAAACCAGTAGAGGTAAGCAGCTACACTGTTAGTAATATATCAGTATACACCTTTCAGCTGCAGAATTACCCGTGCAGAACCGGGTCAGAATAGGTCTTCAGCAAACCCGTCCTTGCAGTAATAGGTGACTACGCTTGTTGTAAGAGGCAACTAACGAGATCGGGTGGTCAGACTCGCAGACTTGGTTGTTGCATGTCATCGTATCCCAACGGGGTGGTCAGGAAGCCTACTGGTTGAAGCATTCGCTCGCCATGCCGAAGACCCAGGTTCGATCCCCGACATGGGTACAATATTGCTAAAAATGGCATAAAACCCAACTCACTCACTCACTCACTATTGCTGAAAACATGAAATGCAGTAGTTTGTATTCCACGCTGTTGCAGCTGTTCCCTCAGATTGATGCGTTGAAGCCGGGGGAGTTTGGGTCGTGGTGGCAGTTTACCGCCCGCTACTGTGATGCACGAATGGAATGGTTTGGCAGGCAGAAAATGAGGAAGGTTGAGTAAGTGTGTATCGTAACAAATCTCAGTTGCTTGTTCTAATACTGAAAATATAGTTTAGTAGAAATAAATATAAACTTGAAAAAGTCCATTTTTGTTCTGACTTTATAAGATAACATCATTCACATAATGGTGGGGAACACAGTATTGTAGAATTAAAAAAACAATCATGCAACATGTGTGACTGTATTGCCTTCCTCGGCTCAGTGGTGCAGAGTTGCCTCCTTTAGGGATGTAGGGATGCTGGTCTCCCAGCACATTCCATTACTGTTGGTTTCAACACATTTGTTAGCATCTATGATCTGTCACTATAGACTTTCCGCCCTCAGTAGGCTGATATGATAGAACTGAAATACTGTTCACAAAAGTATTACACACAACTCACTCACTCACTCCAGTGGTGCAAGTAACCTGGAGGAGCTTCAGGAGAAGCTGAGTAGGACGGTGATGATCCGGCGGGAGAAGCGGAATGTCCTCAAACAGCTGCCTCCCAAACAGAGGCAGAAGGTGCTCTTTGAACTCAAGGACTCCAGCCAGAAGAAGGTAAATTGATGCTGCAAATGTGAGAAAATAAGGAACCTATTTTCTCCCAACCGTACGGAAAATGATGATTTAAAAAGAAAAATTCTCAACAAGACAGGAAATAATGAACCCGTTTTCTCCTAACAATATAGGAAATAATGAATCTATTTTCTTCCAACAAGACAGGAAATAATGAATCTATTTTCTTCCAACAAGACAGGAAATAATGAATCCGTTTTCTCCCAACAATGCCGGAAATAGTGAATCTATTTTCTTCCAACAATACAGGAAATAATGAATCTATTTTCTTCCAACGAGACAGGAAATAATGAATCTGTTTTCTCCCAACAATACAGGAAATAATGAATCTATTTTCTTCCAACGAGACAGGAAATAATGAATCCGTTTTCTCGCAACAATACAGGAAATAATGAATCTGTTTGAGGAACTGAAGCCGATGTTGCAGCGTAACACAAATATGACAAGCCTCAGTCTAGACGCCGCTACTCAGGAGTCTGAGGATGTCAGTGGGGAATCCCTGCATCGACTGTCTCTCATATCGAAGCTGTACAAGCTGAGTGGGGAAGCTAAGGTAGGTAACTCTTGCATGGGATCAGCCACAGGACTGGTAGCAGGTAGGCCTGTAACCTATAATTCATGATATAAAACCATAACAGACAGGCTGTCAATGCCACCTGTTACAGTACAGCTATCTTACGAAGACCCCATGTGGTTTCCAGGGTTGAAGAGGTGAGGATTGGGTGGTTACAGCATCTGACCTGACTGATGATATGTCTACATGGATAGATGCTCATCTCATCATCCACTGTTTTTTTTCTGGTGATGCTGTGATTTACAAACTCTCTTCATAATGCTGTTACCTTGCTGACTGCGACATTAGATCATGGCAGTGTGACCCTTACTTCTACATGACCTAAAATCATATTCAGTGTTTGAAACAGGCACTGTTGTTATGGAAATGGGGCGCGGGTGTCCCAGTCATCAAAAGTGCCCCAGTTCGCTGTGCAGAATTGTGTCTCTTGGGCAAGTCAGAAACCTATGATTGTGGGTTTGAACCCTGGGTCACTCCGATTATGTTTCTAGGTTTGTCAACACCAAACACATTCTCGCGGGCTTCACCAAAATGGTAAAGACCTGTGAAGACCCAGGGTAGAATAGGTCTTCAGCAACCCATGCTTGCCGTAAAAGGCAACTATGCTTGTCGTAAAAGGCTTGTCATGAAAGGGTGGTCAGGCTCGCTGACTTGGTTGATGCATGTCATCGATCCGAATTGCGTAGTTGTTCATGATGTCAATCAATGGATTGTCTGGTCCAGACTCAATTATTTACAGACCGCCATCATATAGCTGGAATATTACTTAGTGCTGCGTTAAACAACAAACCAACCAACCAATCCAAATGGTAAATGTCTGAGACATGCATTATTTCAGGTCCTTCCACATTATGCTAACACAGAATGATATAATTAGAATCATGTTCAGCGCCGTTTAACCCACCTCACTCACTCATGAATATAATATCATGATCATAACACGACAACATTAAAAATCATTCGTAAAAACTAATCCAGCGTGTTCTATTGTTTTATTAATTTTACCTGTACATTAGTCAACATTGCCATCTAAAAAATATAAATTTGATTCACAAATATTTCATACTTAATGATAAAGATGTTGTACGGGATTGTTGATAGGTGTCTGACAATTCCTTGTTTGAAATGTGTGTCAATAGCTCACACCGTAATTATCCCCTTGACTGGTACCTCCACAACTACTCATGTCAGGTTAGGGGGGCACGGCAGGCCCAGTCGTCTAAGACACCACAATTCGCTGTGTGGAGTTGCATCCCTTGGGCATGCCAGAAACCTATGAAAAGCTGACACGCTGTGATATAACTAGAATACTGTTAAAATTGGTGTTAAAACCCAACTCACTCACTCACTCATGTCAGATTGGTCCAGTGAAGGAATACTTGGAAATGCTGTGTGACAACTCGTCCCTAAAGTTCCTCATATTTGCCTACCACCACGTCATGATGAACGGCATCCAGCAGACACTCTGGGATAAGAAGGTCAAGTTTATCCGGATAGATGGCAGTACTAAGCCGGATGACAGGCTGGTAAGAACTAGCATAAAAGTCAAGCAATATTCCAGCGTTAAAATGTCAAAAATATTTACTGAACACAGGGAATTACTATGTAACTTTTCACTTGTCTGCTATTTAACTTCAGCAGTTATATGATTGTCTTTTTCATCTTGTCAACCTCCAGAGAGGTGTATATTATTATTAAGAAAAAGTAGAAAACTTGTTCAATGACCTTGTTTCACAAGTCTATTGTTACAAAATAAGTATTCAATAATTTGAATATAAAAAACATATTTATATTTTGTTTTGTGACTATGGATATGATTGCTTGATTTGTATGGTATGTGTGGGTAACTTGGCCACTGTGTCAGAGATGGAATAACTAGCCCCCCTTGTACAGGTTAGACCTTGCATTTTCTACTTGGTTGCTTTATACAACCACCTTCCCTACACGGGGGCACGAGTGGCCCAGTCATCCAAGGCGCCGCGATTCGCTGTGCAGAGTTGCGTCCCTTGGGCACGCCAGAAACCTATGATTGTGGGTTCGAAACCCAATTCGCCCCGATTATGTTTCTAGGTTTGTCAGCACCATACCCGTGCTCGTGGGTTTCACCGAAGTGGTAAACGTCTGACACCTACATCACTTCGGGCTTTCCTCCCACATTAAGCAGTCACGCCGTGATATAACTTGAATACTGTTAAAAGCGGCGTTAAACCAAACTCACTCACTCACTCACCTTCCTTACACAACCAAAAGGTGGGGGAGGAGACGGGGGATTAAAATCAGTAGTGCAGGTGTTTCAAATGCAGCTGACTGTAAACTTGTTTTGATCATGATAATAATATTCTCAAAATATTTTATGAAGACAAGAACAATACTCAGGCTATTATGCAGAGGATCCTGTTTGAAGGCATAGTTTTAGTAACTAAGATCTATTTAACCAAATAAGAAAATCTGGCCTCACTGTATTTGACAGTAAAAGTAATTGTATTAGATTTCTATGAACATGTATGCTCTAGTAACATTATGAAGGAGATCTTGGAGACATTTTCTTACTGAGACAATGTTGAGCTCAAACCAATAATTTTATTCCTGCTGAGGAGAGAATTATTGGACTTGCTACCAATTGCTTGTGTTTATTGAAAGATTTTCATGAACCACTTACAGATGCTCGTCCAGCAGTTTCAGTCGGATGCGGACACAAAGGTGGCCATCTTGAGTATCCTAGCAGCAGGAGTGGTAAGCAGTGTTCACCTCTCTATATGTACTAGCTGATGTGGGGGGTGCACTCATCTACGGCCTCGCAATTCACTGTGCAGTGTTGCATCCTGTTAGCATGCCAGACATCTATCTTTTGTGGGTTCAAATCCTGGTTTGCCCTGATTGTGTTTCTGGGTTTGTCGGCACCATACCTTACTAGTGGGATTCACTGAAGTGGTAAATGTCTACTATCTACATCACTGATGCACATTGATATTGAACTGAAATACTATTCAGAGCACCGTAAAACATAACTTCCTGAATTATAAGGTCCAAAGAGTGACTCTGGTGATGATAGGGTAGAATAGACCCCTGGTACCCCATGCTTGCCATTAGAGTTGACTAATGAGGATCTTGTGGATACAAACTGTGAGGGTGGCTGGGTAGCCTACTTCCCAGGGTACTCACCCAGTTGCTCACCTAGTCAGCTTGTCGGCTACTGATATATTCCTATCAGGCTGTCTGTCCTCATACACGCCACATCATCTGACCCAAATCTGTGGATTCCATCTATTGGGTGAGTGAGTGAGTGAGTTTGGTTTTACTCCGCTTTTAGCAATATTCCAGCAATATCACGGCGGGGGTCATCAGAAATGGGCTTCACACATTGTACCAATGTCGGGATTCGAACCCTGGTCTTCGGCGTAATGAGCGAACGCTTTAACCACTAGGCTACCTGACCGCCCCCATCTATTTGATTTGAATATTAGAGTGTAGCATTAAACAATAAACAAAACAAATAAGAAACTTTTCTTGTATGTCCACAGGGACTGACCCTTACGGCAGCCAAGCTGGTTGTGTTTGCTGAGATGTACTGGACACCTGGTGTTATGGTCCAGTGTGAGGACCGCGCTCATCGAATTGGACAAACAGCAAGTCTACCTGTACATTACCTGGTTGCCAAGGGAACCATGGATGAATGGGTTTGGGGCACTGTGTGTAAAAAGGTAAGAAAGATATATTTAAGAAAAGGATCAACACTTTTGAAAGGAGTAATTAGATGATATCATTATCCCATATAACATTTTCTGAAAGTTTTTTTGAAAGACAGGAGCTTTCTATTCAGAATCGATATAAATTCAATACATTACATTAAAGCAGAGTTTCTTTCTCAATGTCTCATGCCAGCTTTTATGAATCATTTAAATGAGGCGCGTGTGAACATCTCTTGTTCTGATCCCTGCAGACCCTAGTCACCAGCACAGCACTGAGTGGTCAGCGCCGCAACATGGAGGCTGACAAGGGAGACGAGTATCAGGTGGAGTTGCTGTCTAATGCTGATGCATGGGTTCCAGCAGAGCAGACGGACCTGGATTTAACATCTTTCTTTCAGTCACAAAAGGTATTGCGCTTTGTGTTTAGTTAAATCATGTGAAGATGTCAGGTTTTTTTCGAACAATTGTCATTGTTCAGTGAATGGAAGTGTGATGCAAACTGGCTTTTTTTCACGGTTTGCAAATAAGTTTTTTGGCAAGTATCTCTTTTCTCAATCACAAATTTGAAGAGAAAATGACAATCGGCTTGGCAAAATGCTACTACATAAATTATACATCAACTTTGGGGCAGCCTAGTGGTTAAATCATTCAGTTGTCATGCTGAAGGCCCGTGTTCGATTCCCCACATGGGTACAATATGTGAAAACCATTTCTGTCATCCTTACCGTAACATTGCTGGTGCAATGCTGAAAGTGGAGTAATGCCATTCTCACTCTTTCAGATATCAACTTATCAGAACAGTTTACTGAGTATGGTTTTACGCCGCTTTTAGCCATATCCCAGCAATATCGAGTCAGGGGACACCAGAAATGGGCTTCACACATTGTACCCATGTTGGGAATTGATCCCAGGTCTTCTGCATGACAAGCAAACGCTTTTAACACAAGGCTATGCCACTGCCCCAAGAACATATTAGAATTAAGTCTATTCTTGCCCATTCTGCTTACCAGGCCAGTTCAGTTATCAAGGAAGAATATGATGTCATCCACTGTATCATGACATTATACCCTTCCCGAGTGACATCATATCAGTCTCGGGGCACTGGTGGCCCAGTCGTCTGAGGCGCCGCGATTCAGGGCACGGGTGGCCCAGTCGTCTGAGGCGCCGCGATTCGCAGAGTTGCGTCCCTTGGGCACGCCAGAAAGCTATGACTGTGGGTTCGAATCCCGGTTCGCCTCGATTATGTTTCTAGGTTTGTCAGCACCATACCCGTGCTCGTGGGTTTCACCGAAGTGGTAAACGTCTGAGACCTGCATCACTTTGGACTTTTCTCCCACATTAAGCTGACACGCCGTGATATAACTGTAATACTGTTAAAAGCGGCGTTAAACCCAACTCACTCACTCATGTCAGTCTCACAACTGTGAGAGTTCACACGGACAAGTTTGAAAAAGCATGCTACGGAAAATATTTGATTATTTTACAATGTCAATAAACATTATATGTTTTCATTTTTGTGGGTGTTCTGGAGTATTTGGTGCCTGTCATATGTAAGCTGTGATAGCTAACATTCAGTATCACATTTCCTACCTTTGATGTGTTTAGTATCATCAGGACCAGCGCAGTCTGCTGTACCCTCTCCTTTTTGTGTTTTCTTCAGCCAACAGATCAAAGATCAATACTGGAGTTTTTTACACCTCCATCAGCAAAGAACAGAAATAAGAACATGGATAAAACTCCTGGAAAAAACAGACCCTGTGATGATGAAGAAGGATCAGATCTGCTTTGTAAGAAGCAGAAGACAAATCACCGAGAACATGTGACAGAGGGACGGTTTAAAGGGGAGATAATTCTCCTGGACAGCGAGGAGGAGGAGGAACAATTCCAAACAGAAAAGAAAAGGAGAAGGATAAACAGAACAGAGGGAAGAGACAAAGATCAGTGTTTTGCTGGCAGTAACAGAATCTTAAGCCCATCCACACCTTCTGGTAAGGATGGGTTTGAGAAAGCATCCGACAGCCAAACGCTTTGTACAACACCCACCAATCCTAGGAGTGTTAAAAATGCATTGCATATGCCGAAAATCGCATCAGTTGGAAAGAGGGGAGACAGTGCCTTGAATGGACGTAGTACTGAGGACACTGATGATACAAGATCACTCGTGAGTGGAGTGTCCAGTCAGTGGGCATGCAGTGCTTGTACGTTCCTAAACAATGCTGGCATGTCCCGTTGTGAAATGTGTGACACACCGGGGAAGGTTAAAGATGTCAAAAGGTCAAAAGGTAAATCCCAGTCAGAAGATTTTATCCTAAGCAGCCCAGTGTTTGGGACGAAGCAGAAAACATGCTCCCATGTGGTGAAAGTTGATACAGAACACACTGTGTTGAATGATGATGATGAGACTGGAACTATGGAGGGTATAGCTGTCCGGGACATGTCAAGCAGATCCTCCTCCCAGGGCGCAGACACTGATCACGTCAGTCATGATGGAGCTGCAGGCAATGGTGGAAGTGTAGGCTCTTCAGTTCTAAAGAAAAGGAAGTGTTTTGTGCTTGAAGATAATGAGTGTACACTCTCTTGTATCACTGCTGAAAATGGTGAGAATTTATGTGCTGAAGGTTGTGTTGAAAGTCCTGACATTAATGGAGTACATCTTGATATGGGCGGCACTGATGCAAGCCTGTCTGGGGATGAGCAGCTCAGTGGAGCAACAGCAACTCCTAAACCCAGAAAGAGGATGTGCTTTCAGCTCCACTCTGATGATGAGGAAGAAAGACCTGACAGACCCAAGTCTGGTCGTTGGGAAGATGTTGTACAGTCCAGTCCTTGTCACCAAAACAAAGATGACCAACGCTTGTCTACCCCAGTGGGTCGTGATGACCGATGTGTGTCTACTCCAGTGGGTCGTGATGGTCAATGTGTGTCTACCCCAGTGGGTCGTGATGACCAATGTGTGTCTACTCCAGTGGGTCGTGATGACCGATGTGTGTCTACCCCAGTGGGTCGTGATGAAAGATGTGTGTCTACCCGTGTGGGTCGTGATGACCAATGTGTGTCTACCCCAGTGGGTCGTGATGACCAATGTGTGTCTACCCCAGTGGGTCGTGATGACCAATGTGTGTCTACTCCTCCGGGTCGTGATGAAAGACGTGTGTCTACCCCAGTGGGTCGTGATGACCGATGTGTGTCTACCCCAGTGGGTCGTGATGACCGATGTGTGTCTACTCCTCTGGGTCGTGATGAAAGTTGTGTGACGCCCTCATGGGAGCTGATGCCTTGTGACAGTCCATGCTTCAGTTTGGTTCTAGACTCCTCAGATGATCAGTCAAATGAGAGTACCAGTAACCATGGTAACATGGATACTGCAGAAGCTAGAAAGTCAGGAGACAAACAAATCCACATGACTCCAAGCAAAGACAGCCCCTGTTTCAGTCTGATCCTCGACTCGTCTGGTGATCAGTCCAAGAACAGTGAGATGGATGTTGCCGAAGCCAGACACCAAGGAGATCCTCAGATTCATGTTACATCACATAAAGACGAGGCAGAGGGAAAATCAGACATCAGTGACAGTGACTGCAATTATAATCATCTACCAGGAGATCCAGATGTCCAGGATTCGGTGTCAGATAGTGAACAAAGTCTACCTGAATTGGTTCTTCCCGGAAGAAGAAGTAGAGACTCTCCGAGTTGTGTAGCGTCTCTCACACCTGACACTAGGACACCTGTGTTGAGGAGGAAAATGTCCTTCAACCCTCTGCTATCAGTAAATACCAAGTCAATGGAAGGTTCTGCTGACAAGTTCAGCCCTGATTCTAGACGCCAGAGTTGTAAAACTCTGACAGATGATGACAGCTCCTCCCAAAGTGCCAGTCAAAAGGGCAGCAGGACTCCTGGGAAATCCATCTCACCTAATGGTAGGACAGCTATGCAATAAATTGTTTGATAGACATTACTTAGAAGTTGGTAGATGACAAAGTAGACACAATTTATGGATAACAACTTCTTTAATTACTATAGCTATACAATATACTTTTATTGCAGTGGTAAGAAAAATGGGTAATCAGTTCATTTTAGAAAATGAAACTTCTGAATTATGAGAATAGGCCAATTTGTTTTACATCTTGCTGTCAATGTTCTTTGCTCCTTCTATATGATGAGAGAAAAACACAAACCTAATATTGTATGAAAGAGATAGGTAACCTTTTACCATGTTTACAGAGACATCATAGACCATACATCAGCTTTACTGAGCAACACATACTTACAGTAAATAGCTAGTAGCCACAAAAATGTATTTACATCTTTGCATGCACAATTTCCATGGTTATCAATGTTTATTACAATAAACAGCATAAACGTGGCAAAACATTTGTATAAGGAAGCTAAGCAAAGCAGTGCATGATTTAGAAGGATGATGCCTTCTATCCAGTATTCTATGACACTTGAGGGGGCACAGGTGGCCCAGTCGTCTATGGCGCCGTGATTCGCTGTGCAGAGTTGTGTCCCTTGGGCACAAAAGAAACCTATGATTGTGGGTTCGAATCTCAGTTCGCCCCGATTATGTTTCTAGGTTTGTCAGCACCATACCCGTGCTTGTGGGTTTCACAAACCCAAGTGGTAAAAGTCTGAGACCTGCGTCACTTCAGACTTTCCTCCCACATTAAGCTGACATGCTGCGATATAACTGGAAGACTGTTAAAAGCGGCGTTAAAACCAAACTCACTCACTCACTCACTGACTGTGACACTTGCAGGGACATTTGCCCACACGTCTGTGTTCCCCGCCTTCCTCTACTGCTGCAGCTTCTACACAGGCCGAGTCTACCTCTTCCAGCAGGTCAGTCCGACTACAGTAAACTCTGAATATTTTGCTACTTGCTACATATGATCAAGGGGCATAACTCAGGTCGGGTCTATTTCATACTCAAAGTCAGGGTTTCCATATCTATAACATGTATAATGAAATGTTCTCCTTAACACAGATCAAATTTCCAAGCATAAGAAAATAGTATTATAATTGATTATATCAATACAGTAAAGTACGGTTATAACGAACTCCACTAATTTTAGTTTGTTATATCCGTAGTTTGTTATCTAAGAATTTCGACTGTCAGACATCTTGGATCAAGTCATGTGACCACATCATGTTACTCGATAAATACATAAGAGTAAATTGCCTTCAATTGTAAATTGCCGCTTTGAACAGCCGCGCTTGGCCGTGAAGGTTTTGATAGGCAGATTGGTAACACGTGAGCAACAGGACCACAGTTTGCTATATCCCTTATTTCATTATGAGCATGTTCGTTATATCCATCAAGTTTATATGATAAAAAATACAGCAAATGTCTGGGACCAAACGAACAGTTTGTTATACATGTTATATCCAGAATTTAGTTATAAGCATGTTCATTATGAACATAGTTTACTGTATCTGTCTTTAGATACACATGATATTTAGACGTTCCTGTGAGAGATTTTATGTATTTGTTTTCACTGTAGGCCTCCCGGTATTGCACTATGTAATGGGTAGGATAAGTCATTATTGAAATGGCCATGGCTATAATACCAGTATATCTTCAAGATTCTCCTGTCCACAATAGTCAATAGTCACACAGCATGAAATGTACCATGTACCATGTACTGAGGGTCATTTCAACTTTATTTGCAGAAAATATTCAACTTCATTCAAGGAAAACAGATACAAATCATGTTTATGTATGGAAATAGTTATTGGAACCGTTATTTAAGACGAAATGCGTAGTTATATTGTCAAATGCTGGGCTGGCTATCGAACGCCGGTTGACATCGCCAGTGGAAGCTGAAAGTAAAACACCTGTAAAAAAATATGAGATCTTCGACGTGTATAAGACGACCCCCCTTCTTAACCCCCTCATTCTTGGTACGAAAAACTAGCCTTATACACAACAATATACGGTAGTAATTTGTACCAGCCCAAAGCATGCACGTGTCCATGGTGTTTTGAAATGTGTCCTGCCTTGTGTCTGCCAGGACGGGACCTCTCTCAGTGAGAACTTCCTGCCCCTGGATGTAGAGATGGGTAACATGGAACAACTGCCAGCTGTACTTCATCACCATGGCAACCTGAGATTGGTGCAGAAGTTTGTAAGGGAATGGAACAGGTCTGTTGTATCTCACGTTTAAGTGTTATATAGTGAGAATTTACATGTTTTAGATCTGTAGTCATAGTAGTATGGGAAATCTTCTGTTAATGGTATATACAGAGATATATATTGAAGTGTTGACTTCCATTATTTTATGGAAACATAAATGCAAAAAGAATTGCTTGGTGAGCTAAGTAAATGGCATAGAGTCATTAGCAATATATTAATTTAAATGTATATTTTTTAAATAATTAAAGTCAAGGGGTACTTGACATCCCTAATGTCACAAAGTTAGCGAAGCTTAAAATTCAACTACTTACCTGGAGTATTTACATCCCTAGTTTGACGGAGACGAAGAAGCGTCTGATCGTGAAACAAGGGATGGTGTTCAGCAGCCCCCTGGTGGCGTACGAGGAGGTCCGTTCCGGCAAGGTTAGCAACACACAGCGACACAAGACCAAGGTGAGAGCAACATGGCTGCAACTTGTTTTGATCTTTGTGTGATTACTAGGTCCCGGGAAGAACAGGTTCTTTGTATCTTTGATTGTTTCGGATATTGGGCCCGGTGTGGATTCCCAGTTAGAAGATGGCTCAGATATGTATCAGTGGTCAATACCCAGTTTCTTGGTTGAATGAATGTCATCGTATCCCAACAGTGTGGATTGTTGCTCATAATATCAATCCCTGGATTGACTTCATTTTTTAAAGTCTGTCGTCATATAGCACGAATATTGCTTTGTGTGGTGTTAAACAACAAACATATTGAAAGAAGACTCAAGTCGCCGGTAAACTCAAACAATGTTTACTTGTTCAGATCAAAACCATAACTGACCCTGCAGTATTACTATGATGACATCATCACAACACTCACACAACCATTCCAAACTACGTTAACGTTGTGTTCTATTTATAGAAATATTTCCGGGTTTAGAGTTACCTCCCTTACATCAATATCTTATGAATACCTGAATTATGGTCCACAACAGATGTGGAATATAAATAGTCCACCTGCATTAACCAACTGACCATTGTTGTGTTTGAATGTACACACTGGTGGCGCTGTGAAGGCCTGTCAGCTAGGGAGAACATGGCGGCCCTGTGGTCTGTGAAGAGTTGTGTCCCCTAGTGTCCAGGATCTGATGTTGTATATGAATGTACACAGTGTGAAGGCCTGTCAGCTAGGGAGAACATGGGGGCCCTGTGGTCTGTGAAGAGTTGTGTCCCCTAGTGTCCAGGATCTGATGTTGTATATGAATGTACACAGTGTGAAGGCCTGTCAGCTAGGGAGTGCATGGGGGCCCTGTGGTCTGTGAAGAGTTGTGTCCCCTAGTGTCCAGGATCTGATGTTGTATATGAATGTACACAGTGTAAAGGCCTGTCAGCTAGGGAGAACATGGGGGCCCTGTGGTCTGTGAAGAGTTGTGTCTCCTAGTGTCCAGGATCTGATGTTGTATATGAATGTACACACTGTGAAGGCCTGTCAGCTAGGGAGAACATGGGGACCCTGTGGTCTGTGAAGAGTTGTGTCCCCTAGTGTCCAGGATCTGATGTTGTATATGAATGTACACACTGTGAAGGCCTGTCAGCTAGGGAGAACATGGGGGTCCTGTGGTCTGTGAAGAGTTGTGTCCCCTAGTGTCCAGGATCTGATGTTGTATATGAATGTACACAGTGTGAAGGCCTGTCAGCTAGGGAGAACATGGGGGCCCTGTGGTCTGTGAAGAGTTGTGTCCCCTAGTGTCCAGGATCTGATGTTGTGTATGAATGTACACAGTGTGAAGGCCTGTCAGCTAGGGAGTGCTTGGGGGCCCTGTGGTCTGTGAAGAGTTGTGTCCCCTAGTGTCCAGGATCTGATGTTGTATATGAATGTACACAGTGTGAAGGCCTGTCAGCTAGGGAGAACATGGGGGCCCTGTGGTCTGTGAAGAGTTGTGTCCCCTAGTGTCCAGGATCTGATGTTGTATATGAATGTACACAGTGTGAAGGCCTGTCAGCTAGGGAGAACATGGGGGCCCTGTGGCCTGTGAAGAGTTGTGTCCCCTAGTGTCCAGGATCTGATGTTGTGTATGAATGTACACAGTGTGAAGGCCTGTCAGCTAGGGAGAACATGGGGGCCCTGTGGTCTGTGAAGAGTTGTGTCCCCTAGTGTCCAGGATCTGATGTTGTGTATGAATGTACACAGTGTGAAGGCCTGTCAGCTAGGGAGAACATGGGGACCCTGTGGTCTGTGAAGAGTTGTGTCCCCTAGTGTCCAGGATCTGATGTTGTATATGAATGTACACAGTGTGAAGGCCTGTCAGCTAGGGAGAACATGGGGGCCCTGTGGTCTGTGAAGAGTTGTGTCCCCTAGTGTCCAGGATCTGATGTTGTATATGAATGTACACACTGTGAAGGCCTGTCAGCTAGGGAGAACATGGGGGCCCTGTGGTCTGTGAAGAGTTGTGTCCCCTAGTGTCCAGGATCTGATGTTGTATATGAATGTACACAGTGTGAAGGCCTGTCAGCTAGGGAGAACATGGGGACCCTGTGGTCTGTGAAGAGTTGTGTCCCCTAGTGTCCAGGATCTGATGTTGTGTATGAATGTACACAGTGTGAAGGCCTGTCAGCTAGGGAGTGCTTGGGGGCCCTGTGGTCTGTGAAGAGTTGTGTCCCCTAGTGTCCAGGATCTGATGTTGTATATGAATGTACACAGTGTGAAGGCCTGTCAGCTAGGGAGAACATGGGGGCCCTGTGGTCTGTGAAGAGTTGTGTCCCCTAGTGTCCAGGATCTGATGTTGTATATGAATGTACACAGTGTGAAGGCCTGTCAGCTAGGGAGAACATGGGGGCCCTGTGGCCTGTGAAGAGTTGTGTCCCCTAGTGTCCAGGATCTGATGTTGTGTATGAATGTACACAGTGTGAAGGCCTGTCAGCTAGGGAGAACATGGGGGCCCTGTGGTCTGTGAAGAGTTGTGTCCCCTAGTGTCCAGGATCTGATGTTGTGTATGAATGTACACAGTGTGAAGGCCTGTCAGCTAGGGAGAACATGGGGGCCCTGTGGTCTGTGAAGAGTTGTGTCCCCTAGTGTCCAGGATCTGATGTTGTATATGAATGTACACACTGTGAAGGCCTGTCAGCTAGGGAGAACATGGGGACCCTGTGGTCTGTGAAGAGTTGTGTCTCCTAGTGTCCAGGATCTGATGTTGTATATGAATGTACACACTGTGAAGGCCTGTCAGCTAGGGAGAACATGGGGGCCCTGTGGTCCGTGAAGAGTTGTGTCCCCTATTGTCCAGGATCTGATGGTCAAGCATCAATCAAAGATTAAGAGCATTAGTTTTGTCATCTAAATCATGTACATAGCTTTCTTTATTATGTATTTAGTGATGAAATGTAATATTTACCTGAAAATATTGAATTGGAATTTCATTCATGTGAAAAAGCAGTTCTTTCAGTCTGCTTCAGTAACACAATGATTTTCAGACTAAGATCATCAAGATCAGTAAGAAAATACACAAAAAAGAGAACATTTGTTTTTCCTTTAATATCTAATGCATGGCCTGACATAGTTGATATTCTACAAATAATTACTCTTGATAAGGTCAATATGCGAAAACAAGGTCCCGAGGACCTGACCCACGAGGACCGAAATTCACTTTAAAGTTTATGAAGTCTTTAAACAGTCCTCTGTTTCATTACAGTAACTTAACTGTAAACCATGAAACGTGTGTACCAGACGCCATCTTTTTTTCTAGCAGACAGGTCAATATTCATCACATTACAGGTCAATACTGATCATTAAACGAGTCAATATTCGAGGTCATTGTCAGTCACATGATTTCAGGGTCTACATTGAAATGTATTGTTTCGTCACATGGTACGGAATAACCAATGGAATTACAAGATTCTTAATAGAGGTATGACATTATCACTTGTGGCCATGCATCTCACCAAAGTATCAACTTTGACAGGTCACAAATGAGATAAACAACTGCTGTCAATCTTTATATCCCTAATCTATCGACTATCTATGGAAAAGTAGCTACACATCAACACAATTTCTAATCTCCAACAGGTTGAGATCACTGACCTGCCTAGGGCTTGTATGTCATAAAGTGCTTTGTGCGTGCTTGGCCACAACCACCATGTCATGCCTTGCATCATCAGCCATTAGCTGTAACATCATGACCGTGAAATTTGATACGTTACATTAAATTGATGCCTGTGAAAGGTACATGAAACTGAAATATTCCACAAACAACATACCTTTTTTCAAATGGGTATTTTGTGCTTGATATCGAACTGATATCACTTTTTCATTTAAGTTGCTATGACGGCGTTGGCATATTCTGAATTTTCCTGTATATTATGGTGTATTGTCTGACCAGACTTATAAACCTCCAGTGATGCTATGCTATTGTTCTCTGGTGGGGTTAAATGTCATAAACAGGGATGTTGTAATACACTGTTTTATTAATACAACTTCCATTTAGATTGTAACATATGAATGTTCTCGTGAGAAATTTATTTTGCTTTTCAACACAATGTAATGAAATGTAAAATCAAATGACAAATGTTTTCTTTTATATTCCCCAGGGTTGAACATGTAACCTTCGTTTCTGTAGCCCAGTGAGTGTACCACTAGGCTACAGGGATGCAGATAAATCACAATGCTTTTAAGAATGCCTTTTTCAAGTAATGTAGCTAGCAAAAGATATTTTACGCCCGTTTCCTAAGGTTCATGGAAAATTTGTTGGAAACATAAAAATGTTGATAAATGTTGTTTTAATTTTGGGGGGGTGTTAAATTAGATAAAACAATTCCCCCATGATATTTAAAACCCTTATCCCACAGATGCGGGTTTTAATATCATACAAACCATCAGACTTGCTTTTTCCTACACATAAAGGCCTACTGTCCAACTTGTGCCTTGAAATCACTACCTGGATGACATCCTTAGAAAGATTGACCCCTCAATAAACAATATTGAGTTTATATATTAACTGCATGTGTTGACAATGTAGTAATTCAAGCTACACTTGCAGTGTAGTATATATTTTTCAATTGTTCATGCTGATGATTTTCATCTGATACAACAGCAAGAAAATGTTGTATACAACAATAAAGACTTATTGTGTATCATGGTGTTCCCGTCTTCTCTACAGGACGATGCAGCAATGGTGGCACAGAAGGCAGCAGTGGAACTGGGTGGGACTGTCAGGCTCATATCAAAGAGAGGCCAGACAGGAAGTCAGAGGTCACATGACCAGGCACGGCAGACGCACAATAACATAGGCGTGTTACAGGTATGATATTAAGTTTTGGTAAAAGTAGTCAAACTCCTCTGAGTTGGTGGAGTTTAATAACAATATTTGTGAATACACAATGCCTTTTAGAAAGTGGGCAAATTTAACAAATGTTATGTTTAGGATTACACTTAAAGTACACATACTAATACCTTTTTGGGTTGAGTCCCAGCCAGGATTCAATTCAACACTCTCAGTAAGGCATCTAAACGCCAGCACACAAAGTTAGCGATCTAACCCATCAGCCATTGTGTTCATAGCTTGTGGTCATGGGAGCCGTACAAATTCACACTTGTCAGAGGGGTACACAAAGTATGTGATCTAGACTACCAGATGTCGGACTTCGATTATTGTGGAAGCCTCGGAGGCTAAGTGAGTTAGATCCCTGTACTAGAATTTTTACTTAACTAAGAAAGTCTTATCCCAAATATGACATTTCTTAATATCATATTTGTTACAACCATGTTTGGTTAAATTACTCTCTTCCACACAGGCTGTCACAACAGAAGGGGTTCCGCTGTGTTTAAATTGTCAGCAGCCATATGACAACCCTCTCCTGGACAAGTCAACTATCACAGATGAGAAGAATGCTTGGAATACTCGTTTCTGCTCCTCAAAATGCATGGACCAGTACTGGGTAAGTTGGATTACTAGGTGCATTGGCTGGAACAGTACTAGGTAAGTTGGATTGCTGAGTACATTGTCTGGACCAGTACTGGGTGCATTGGCTGGACCAGTACTGATTACATTGGCTGGATGGTTCGGATCATTGCTCAAAATATCGAACACTGGATTGTCTAGAACCAATTATTTACAGGCCACTGTTATACAGCTGGAAAATTGCTGAGAGTGGCGTTAAGCAACAAACAAACAAATATGACTGTAAATCTGCAGTCTGTAACTGTAACTTCAGCCACTCGTCTGAGGCATGAGAGGTGAGGTGAAATTGGGTTTAACGTCGCGTCCAAGATTATTGCACTTATATAGCGACATGCATGTATGTGTATGTGTTTGTGTGGCTGCTTGTACTAGTCCGGACTGATGCCGATTTATAGTGCTAGCTCACTGAGATACCATGCTGTAGTTTAACATGAATACCCCACTCAGACACAGTATACTGACTCCAAGCCGACCAGTCCTTGTTTAGCCCCTTAATGCCGAGCGCCAGACAGGGTAACAACAAGTACCATCTTTTAACGTCTTTTGGTATGACGCGGCCGGGGATCGAACACCGGACCTTCCGCTCTCCGGGCGGACGCTCTATACCACATGACCACGGGGTGGTCTGAGGCATGAGAAGTCAGATCAGCGTTTGCTGATTGATAAACTAACACAAAAATATTACCTAACTACTAGTTTGTAGATTTTGACAGTGACTGAATCAGTGGACATGTCAGTACGTGAGTGTATATGTCTGTTAACTGTAAATCTGTCTGCACGTCTGCCTGCAGGTGCATCTGTCTGTCAATATATCTGTCTGCACGTCTGCCTGCAGGTGCATCTGTCTGTCAATATATCTGTCTGCACGTCTGCCTGCAGGTGCATCTGTCTGTCAATATATCTGTCTGTATGCCTGTTCTGTGTTTCAGATGCAGACACACAGCAGCTACTGCCGGGACAAAGTGTACGAAGTGGAACATGGCATCTGTCAGATCTGCAAATATGATGCTCATTCCTTCTACAACCAAGTCAAGTAAGGCACAACAAAGTTGGTCAAGACTAAACTTACAACATAAACACTGGAACTGCAGCATTGTCCAAATAATTGTTGTATCTCTACAAGTGAGCTGTCTCCCCTGTTGCAGGAACACCCAGGACATGCAGAAGCGAGCCAAGCTGCTGGCGGAGGGCAAGTATTCAACTCTCAAGGCCAAGCAAAAGGAAAGCATGGTGCGCAAACCAGTGGAGGGACAGGTCAGTTGGTCATCATGGTTACCTTGATGTACATTCAGTTTCAGAAATATCCACTGCTTTCTAGTACAGATTTGAACTCAATTTGTGGGTCAATTGAGCTTTTGTCATGGTTGCTTGGCCAGCGGTGGCAGCATCATTGTCTGTAAACATCATTACCTCAGAAACAACCGCCTCCGTGATCTAGAGGTAGAGCATCCGCCCGGAAAGCGGAAGGTTCGGGGTTCGATCCCCGGACGCATCATACAAAAAGACGTTAAAAGATGGTACTTGTTGTTACCCTGTCTTGTCGGCTTCGAGTCAGTATTCTGTGTCTGAGTGAGGTATTCATGTTAAACTACAGCATGGTATCTCAGTGAGCTAGCACTATAAATCGGCATCAGTCCGGACTAGTACAAGCAGCCACACACACACGTGCATGCACGTCGCTATATAAGTGCAATAATCTTGGACGCGACGTTAAACCCAATTTCACCTCACCTCAAAAACCACTGGACAGTGACGCTGAAACTTCACATGCTTGTCCCCACCAATGACAACACCTTCATTTGTTTAAGGGTTATTACTGTTAAAAATGTAATTAAATTTCTTGTATGTGTTGTTGGTATTAGGGCTTAACATATACTCAACAACAAAAGTTCCTGTGACACCAATATTTTAGTGTAGTTTTCAAACAAGTCAAGTTTGGTTTTCAATATTGTAGTAAATGTATGGAATCATGTCACAAAAACAAAAAAGCATGCATTCCATGCAAAAGTTTGCTTTTATGCAAGCCCCATGCATTTCACTACACAAGAATGGGTATAAAAACATGTGCGTAAATGGGATTCCAACAACCACTCAGAAAAACAACAAAATTACGCAATTATTCAACATTACGAAATGCTACGCCTGTCCGAAAATGTGCGTCTGCAAGCCATTGGTATGCTTGAAGCAGGATCGAGTCAATGTTTTTTTGCAAGACAATTTAACGTCCACAGAAACACCATTTGGTGTTTATGGCAACACCATTTGGTGTTTATGGCAACATTGGCAACAGACGAATGCAGTCAGAGACCATCCTCGGAGTGCGAGTCCAGAAGGACTTGGAACAGTTGTTATGAAAGTATTCAGCCCTATTTGATGGCAGTTTGGGAACTGTGAAGGGTGTTAAGCTTCATCTGTCAAAACCAAAGTTCTATAAACCAAGAACTGTTCCATATGCACTGCAGGATAAGGTAGCGGAGGAATTGGATAGACTAGAGAAGATTGGGGTCATTGAGAAAGTGGAATGTTCTGAATGGGCTGCTCCAATTGTACCGATACTCAAACCTTCAGGTGCTGTGAGGATACATGGGGATTATAAGCTGACAGTATCCTTTGCCTGTGCCAGAAGATTTGCTCAACCAACTGAATGGTGGGACGAAATTCACCAAATTAGACCTATCACAAGCCTATCAACAAGTGTTACTTGGTGATGAATCTAAGAAATATGTGACTGTGAACACCCATAAGGGCCTTTATCTTTATACACGATTACCCTTTGGGGTCGCTTCAGCCCCTGCTTTATTCCAAAATGTCATGGTCCAGGTATTACAGGGTCTTCCAGTAACTGGCGATTTCATAGATGACCTGTATGTCACTGGTACAGATGACAGTAAACACCTGAAGCACATTGATAGTGTGTTTGAACGTTTGGATTCTTATGGCATCAAACTAAACAAGTCGAAGTGTACTTTCCTTCAACCATCTATGGAGTATCTTGGTTTCAGGGTGGACAGTCAAGGTATTCATCCGACGGAATCCAAGATTGAAGCAATCTGGAATGACAGAACTACAATCCTTTTTGGAGTGTGTGAACTATTAGCGGAAGTTTATACCAGATATGTCCACAGTGTGTGCACCATTAAATAAACTTCTGCAGAAAGGAACAAAGTTTCATTGGGACAGCTCGTGTGAGAAAGCCTTTCAGAAACTATGTAAGCATTTGACTACATCTGATGTACTAGTGCATTATGACCCAAAGCAGCCTCTGATCTCAGAGGCAGATGCATCTCAGCATGCTTTAGGTGCAGTCATTTCTCATGATACAAATTCTGGGATGACCTATAGCATTTGCTTCACGAACGCTAACAGCTGCTGAGAAAAACTACTCTCAGATTGAGAAAGAGGCTTTGGCTATCATTTCTGGAATCCAGAAATTCCATGAGTACTTGTATGGGAGACATTTCACCCTGTATACGGACCACAAGCCACTAACAAGTATTATTGGGCCTAAAACAGGAATTCCTGTACTTGCTGCATCAAGACTGCAGAGGTGGGCCATCCAGCTATCAGCTTACAGTTACGAGCTCAAGTATTAAATCCACGAAACAAAACGGTAATGCAGATTGCCTTTCCAGATTACCATTAGCAGATACCGATGGTCAGAAATCCAGTTCACACACATTTTGGACACGAGAAGCTACTTCAGTGCACCTCGCTCAGCTAGATTAACTGCCTGTTACATCCAGAGACATATCAGCTGCTACTGTACGAGACAAAGTGCTATCTCGAGTGAAACATTTCACTGTTTGTGGTTGGCCTTCAGTAGGTGATATTTCTCCTGAATTCCTTCCGTATTATAGAAGGAAGGACGAGTTGACATGTGAAGGGGGCTGCTTACTTTGGGGAGTGAGAGTAGTAGTACCCACTCAGTACCGATTTTGGATAATCTTCATGACTCTCATCCGGGGATTGTTCGCATGAAATCTCGAGCAAGGATTCATGTGTGATGGCCAAAAGTGCTGGAATCATAATAACAGTAATTGAAAAGTGGTGGCATGTAAATAAATTTGGTCTAGATGTGACATAATCGCAACTGAAAATTATTATCCATTGAGTTTCAAAGCCTAGTTTATTTCCTGTCGCTTACAACATGTAATTGAAGATTGTCTTCTGTCTATGTATGAATTACAGGGGGAAATCTCTGCGTAGTTTATTGCTAAATAACGTTTAATTGTCACATTATCGTGAGCAGTACTTGACCATTCTCCCTGAAAACGAAAGTAGGTCATGAATGTTGCATCGACCCTTGTGATAGAAGCAGGGCAGAAAGTTTCGCATTGTATTTAGATCAAGGCTAAGTGTGTTTTTAATCACACTTGGGTTTCAGAGTACCAATAGTACACAAAACAAAAGACGGAAACAACGCATTGTGTATGATGGGGTAAAGTGAGCTGAAATCTCACATACGAAACATCATTCCTTATAAAACTGTCAATCATTACTGGGAGTAAATGTGCAAGATTTGGGTGTTGTAAACATGAAGAGAGTTCAGAATCAAATGCCAGCAATATTGTACCCAAAACAGAAGCGATCACAGAAGGAAAAGAACAGATAATTCTCCAACCCTAAAGTTTGACCTCAATGGTATCCATGTCGACTGCTTCCAGTATGCTATTTGGCATTCAGTATGTACTTTTGGAAGAAAACGTAGTCCTTAAAAAGAAATATTCTCCCATAAAAAAATGCTTTAAAGTGCCTTGTATGAACCCTGTGGTTTTACTTTGACCGTAACAACTATCTTTGGAAATAACATGATGAATTTGGGATACTCTGTAGAGTTGTCTTGTCAAAATGTGTTAGTTCTCATAATGCTCATGTCTGTAGGGTTGTCTACCTTTGCTAACTCTTCAAATTATAGTGCCAGAGGTGAGAACAGACGTGGCTTAACATTAGATGGAAACTGTTTCTTGTTCTTAGAAATACTTTCATGACCTGTTTACAATTTTTGTTTCAGTTTTGGCACGTGGACCACATCACCCCTGTGTGGGAGGGTGGCGGCATGTGCGACATTGACAACATGCGGACACTGTGTGTGATGTGTCACCAAAAGGTCACTGCAGGTCAGGCCAGGAAGAGGGCAGTGGTCAGACGTCTACAGGGAGCTAGGGCAGGGGGAGATATCACAGCCTTCTTCCAGAAGTCATGACACAGCCATCTGGCTGTCATTGTGATTATCGTGTCTGGAGGCAGTGGTCAGACGTCTCAAGGGAACCGTGGCTGATGTCACAGCCTTCTTCCAGAAGTCATGACACAGCCATCTGGCTGTCATTGTGATTATCATGTCTGGAGGCAGTGGTCAGACGTCTCAAGGGAACTGGGGCTGATGTCACAGCCTTCTTCCAGAAGTCATGACACAGCCATCTGGCTGTCATTGTGATTATCGTGTCTGGAGGCAGTGGTCAGACGTCTACAGGGAACCGGGGGAGATATCACAGCCTCCTTCCAGAAGTCATGACACAACCAACTGGCTGTCATTGTGATTATCGTGTCTGGAGGCAGTGGTAAGACATCTACAGGGAACCGGGGGAGATATCACAGCCTTCTTCCAGAAGTCATGACACAACCAACTGGCTGTCATTGTGTTTATTGTGTCTGGAGGCAGTGGTCAGATGTCTCAAGGGAACCGGGGCTGATGTCACAGCCTTCTTCCAGAAGTCATGACACAACCAACTGGCTGTCTTTGTGATTATCGTGTCTGGAGGCAGTGGTCAGACATCTACAGGGAACCGGGGGAGATATCACAGCCTTCTTCCAGAAGTCATGACACAGCCAACTGGCTGTCATTGTGATTATCGTGTCTGGAGGTAGTGGTCAGAGTGCTGAGATACGATGTATCAGAGTTCTGTCTGAAATCCTGACTGTCGACTTCTGAATGTTATATATGCTGAGACATCTCAGTATTTGTGATATAAAACAAAATAAAAAACATAATAAACTGACTTTAATGTTATTTTTTATGATATATGCTTATGTAATAGATAGATGAATAGAGACAGTAAGTTATTGGGAAGTATAAGATAGAACAATGAAGAACAAAGTGTGGTTTATTTCACAATAAAACATTGTTCTATCATGACGTCATTTCTGGAAGTTCAAACATGCGCTCAAAACTTGATGACATCGTATATTGGACGACATTATTTTTGAGAGGGTAGTGCTTAGTGAGTTGTTCCCCATAGATGTAGCTGGGCAATGCAGATAAGTGTGATGGCTGAACAATCGCATCCAAAAGCTGGAGAGATATGACCATTGTCAGTGAGAGAAAAGGTACAGGTAATCGATGTGAGGATATGCGGGAAATACCCACCTGTGCATAAAATGGACTTGTCTGACATTGCCAAGGTCGGATTCTATTGAGGGAGTCATCATTATTAAAATACGGGTAAATATTTTAAAGCTTGTACATTTCATCTGTAAAGAGGCTGTACATAATGTTGATATCTCATATAAGAAATAAACAACTCGTGGTTGTTGTTTATTGTACAATAAAGCCCTGCAGGGATAATATACCACTTGGGGCTGTGGTTTATTTCTTAATTAAAGGTACAGTTGCCAGATCCTGCTGTTCTCACAACCGTCATCAGTCCTCCATATGTCGTAGATAACTGAAAACACAACTGTTCACATGTGAAGAGACTACTACAAGAACATGTTGACACGAGGCAGATCCATAGGTGGAGATACTGTTCTGGGTGCCGTTGTACAATCGATAGTTTTGTTTGTTTGTTGTTTAACGCTGCACTCAGCAATATGACGGCGGTCTGTAAATAATCGAGTCTGGACCAGACAATCCAGTGATTGACATCATGAGCATCGATCCATGCAATTGGGATACGATGACATGTATCAACCAAGTCAGCGAGCCTGACCACCCAATCCCGTTAGTCGCCTCTTACGACAATCGATCGTAGCGCTAAGGCGATCGTAACTCCCATACCTTAACACAGACTTAAGACAGTCGTAGCGCTAAGGTTGTTTTCTACCACATCACCCTGGGCCACAGTAGAACTATCAGTATGACTTTTTCATTTCTGTAAATGCTGTTCATGTGAGCAGCCTAGCTGGAAGTAGTAGGAGCAGCAGCAGCAGGAACAGTAGCAGCAGCAGTAGCAACAGCAGCAACAGCAACAGTAGCAGGAGCAGCAGCAACAGTTAGTCCCATGCACACCTTTCAGGGAAAGAATTGTCTTTAATCTAATAATTATTTTTACATCCTCTCTATGTGGTGGTGTATTCATGTCACAAGATACGTGTTGACACTAATCAAGATGCCCATCATTACTGATAGTGTCAGCAGGTTAAGGGAGATAACTGCTATCAGTTAGGTCACAAAGAATTCCAACCAAAACTCGTGGATAACATCTATCATGCACAATTCATCTATCGGGACCAGTAGCCTTGAATGAAGCACAAGTGATAGCATTCAGCTGACAAGGTCAGTCACACTGTCCCCGGTAGAGATCTGTAGCTGGTCATGTGACGAGGTTGGGTCAGGTGGTCAGTGATATAGTGCCCTGCTAGGATCATGTTTGCGGTCACTGGGTTGCCTGGTCTTGACTTATCAACACGCTGCTGGATGCAGCTGGTATATTCTGCCTGCAGTGTCCAACTGTCCTCATCAGCGTTCTACTTGTGTTCGGATTCATCAGTAGTAACTTGCTACACAGTGAGGGATCTCATGTCTTCCTAACAACTTACCTTAATCATTTCTTTACTAGCAGCTTCAATTTCGGGGGATGTGCTGGTATTTTGGTTTGAGATCAGCATAAATATGTTTACTGTTCAAGAAGACAATTATTTTTTTCCAACATAAACAGATGCTCAATTAGGTATTTGTTCTAAATATATCATTAAAAAAAAAATGTATTCTTGGGAAACTTGACTGCAAGAAAAGGGTATTTTATTTTATGTATTTTTTTTCTCTCAATAAAAAATTGACTCGATTAGTTTTTGGGACCCCTCCCCCGGGAAATTAAATGGTTGCTTCCGAACTCGTGTGTGCAGGTTTATGTTGTTTGACTGAATATACCACAAGTGCAATTAAGTGAGTAGGGATTTCTTTCAACAAAACCCCAGTTCAGTTATATCAGTGTGTGAGCTTAATGTGGTAAACATGTAAATGACGCACTCTTGAAACCCACAAGCATGGATAGAGTGAGAACATAACAAAGTACATGAGGCCTGTGTCAATCAATGGCATTTAGTATGTTATGGTTTTACGCTCCTTTTAGTAATATTCCAGCACCATCATGGCAGCGAACAGCAGAAATAGGCTGCACTGCTTGTACCCATTTTGAGGAATTGAACATGGCCTTAGGCATGACAAGCGAAAGATTCAACATCTTGGCTGCCAAACTGCCCGTTTACAAAGTAAACAATATAATAGGTTTGAGTTTACTGACATGAGGTGATTGAATAATCAACATCAATTCAACAAGTCTTTATATTTTTGTATATTTTTTATTAAAGTGCAGAGAAACCTATGATTCTTGGTTTAAATCCTGGTTCCTGATCTTGTTTCTGGGTTTGTTGACACCATGCCTGTGCTTGTTAGTCATTTCAGTGGTCGGTCAAAGTTCATGATAGGCCGTTCTGACGTGACCCGTAATGGGATGTCCTCAGATCTTTGTTTAGCGGCAGCGAGAACTTAGATTTGATTTTAATGAGATTGAAGACTTACATAACTTCGGGCTTCCCTCCCACATTAAACTGCCATGCCATGAAATAACTGTAATACTTTTCAATCTGGCATTAAACCCAACTCACTCACTTACTTACTCCCAGTTTTAATCAGTAAAATACAACTAAGAACATAGTGACCAAGGCCCTGCCGGACAGAGCGATTTAGCTCAAAGTCACTCAGTCAATGCTAAAGTGTGGGAACAACGATAGTTGTAGCGCTAAGATCACTTTCCAGAACGGGTCTCTTGTTACGATGCCTCCATAGGGCTTATTGTATCGATTCATCACTCAACAAAACTCACATAGCTCCACACTTCCCTCAACAGCTGATGGTACACTGTCAAAATCCTGCTCCAAACCAGGGCCCCTTTCCACAAAGCGATTATGGCGCTACTACTGTCGTAAGTCTATGTTAAAGTATGGGAGTTACGGTCGTCTTAGCGCTACGATCGCTTTGTGGAACGAGGCCTTGATTATGGTAAAAAAAAATCGAAACAAATATTGAAAGCATAAATCAGTTTATTTAAATACATGTTCATCATCGTAAAATACAGAACCAGATCTGATCGTAACAAAACAAAGAGAAGCTTTCAAATCTTAAACTTCAAATAAAATATAGCAGAGACTAATTTCACAAGGATCATTGTTGGCTACTGATGACACAACACCTGCACATTTTCCACTTTCATGTATATTTGCCAAATTGTTTGTAAAGCTCAAAAATAGTATGGACATTCACCATTATTTCAGCAGAAAGAAGATTCTAATTACACATGTAAAATGGAATCAGCTGAAACAAGAGAAACTTTGGGACTGAAACTCAACACGCTTGTGGTTATGAGAGGGGACAGAGCTGTCCTATTGGTATTGAACGATAGTCTCGATGAACTTCTATATACATACACAATACATATTCATATTTCAGACATTTCATCTTAGGTTACTATACTACTCAAAACAAGTTATGGATCACCACTTTTTTCTTATTACTATAGTTTGTCAGACATGAAAGAATCGGATGTTCCTTAACTATTTTTGAGTACTATACATGTCTTAACAGGCCTTACCATCAATAACTATTGACTCGAGGCCAGTGAACTTAACTAGTTCCACAGTAGAGAGCGAAACTGGTCGGTAGACATTATGCTACATGTGAACAACACACATCAGGAGCAACTGTTCACCATTATTTTCTGTGCTGAAAATCTGAAATCACTGACTGATGCGCTTGAACATATACTGTAAAGATCTTGAAGCATCTTAATGCATAGAGTGTGATCCTATCCAAGTTTGGATGTCTTGTTTTAGTTAATAAATCGAAAACACTAATAAAGGATACAACAAAAGTTCTCTATCAATATCGCTGCATCAACCAAGTCAGTGAGCCTGACCGACCGATCCCGTTAGTCGCCTTTCACGACAAGCAAAGTCACCTTTTACAGCAAGCATGGGTTGCTGAAGACAAATTCTACGCCGGAATGTTAAGACCACTGAGAGATTAATGGCAGGTTTGCAACAGTGTAGTTGTTTCACTTATAATGTATATCCAGACTGCAGTCATCATAGGAATAATTCTTATCCATAAGTATTGACAATTGCTTACAAAATAAATGTATTCACAACTACTTCAGAAAGACTGAACTTAGGGACCGGTAATTAATTTGGCATGAGAGAATCAGGGAAGGAAGGGTCAAGAAAAAGATTACACACATAATATTTGGGGAGGGCCATGAAAAAAGAAGAAGAGTAGAAGGACATGGAGAGGGTCATCCAAAAATATGACAACCCTCTGTTCCACACACTCCTGTAATTAATGACCGGTCCCTTGCACTAAAATGTGCAACCATTACATGAACAAAAGTCATGATAAATCCACAGCTGGTGCTAAAGACAAAGCAAAAGCTGAAAACATCTATATCATAAGTACACCAATCTGGCCACATCTAATGGTTTGAAATGATTCATCACAACAGTAGCTTAATTAAAAAGTTGTATTCCCATCAGATCAATGATATCCAGTACCTGGGATTATCACAAGACATTTCACATAACACTGTTTCTTCTCATAGCAGCAGGCTTCATAATAGAGGCAGACAAAAACAATTTGACTACGGCAACCGATCCTGAAGTTGTCCAGTGTATTATATCAATCTGTAGGACTCCAGGTCTCTGTCCCCGCCGTTACTTATAGGATGTCTGGTTGTGCTTGCTTCAAGGGATGCTGAGCTTTCATTTTCTGGGATAAGCTTTGGTTTTCTCCTGTACCCTCTAATGGCGTTATGCAACGATCATTAATTCATTGATTATCTTGGCACTTACACATTCATTAAAATCCTCAGGGACCTGTCATTTTTATTAGAAGTGGGTGGGAGGGTCTCCACAAATATGACAGTCTCAAGGGAAGAGTCATAAACGTAATACATATTTGGGGACGGTCATGAAAAATAGACATTTCATAAAAAAATATAAAGAGCTTTGCATTTGTCTTTAGGGGAGGGTCATCTGAAAACATGACAAGCATTAGGAGAGGGTAGTTATTTTACATACATTAGTGCACCAAAACCCTTTGACCCACCCCTCCTGTAATTATATGACTGGTCCATTAAAGGCCAGTTATCTTTAGGGTTCGGATGGTGATACAAGTCACTCCTTCATACTTCATCCCAATGCGGCCAGGGGCGGTCGGGTAGCCAAGTGGTTAAAGCGTTTGCTCGTCATGCCGAAGACCCGGGTTCGATTCCCGACATGGGTACAATGTGTGAAGCTCATTTCTGGTGTCCCCCGCTGTGATATTGCTTGAATATTGCTAAAAGCGCGTAAAACCATACTCACTCACTCACTCACCCAATGTGGCCATATCACAGATCTACAGTAGACAGAACACATGCCAGATATCTGAGAGTTGGCCACACATGCAAGTCTTACATATCTATATCCTATTCAAATCAATATTCGGAACCTGAGCCTATTTTCTATCATAGCTTCATTTGAAACTTCCCATCGGGTGAGTGCAATTCAGTTGGAGTCCTAATGTTAGCATCATGTCATTATAATCACACTCCAACTGAAGCTATGTTAGGGAATGGGTACAGGGTATATATCATATTAGGCATGGAGATTATTTTACACTGGATAATCTAGGATGATTGCTACTGTGTCAAGATATCACAATGCATAAACATATTACACAGCGAGAATTGGAGAAACAATTCTTCAAAGGACACTGCCAAAAATATACACAATCATATTAATGTTACATCAAAGAATATAAGGAAGTCATCAGAAGTTTACATATTCTTTATTAACTAAAATCTTAAATTATAAATCTTATTGTAAGGCCACAATAAACGGATTATATTACAGATGCACACACACTAATAGTGTATCCAATACAGGACAATTTCCACTGGCAATACTCATCCCTGATCCTCATCTAATGCATACTAAACCATGAGACAGTGAACTGGACTTTACCCTTAATGTTTTCTTGAAATAAACCATGCCTTTGAAGTTTCAGAAAAGAGAAAAGGTTTCCATGGTGACTAAAATCACATGAGATGACAGGTTTTGAAGTTATGTTCACAGGGATGTAAATGTCATAATAGTTATAAATACTACTCAAAATCGTTAAGGATCAGACGATTCTTTCGTATTACCACTGTCATGCCAAGCAGATGAACTAAAGTAATATGACTGAATTGGGTGTAGGGCATGACATATTACTATAGTTATATGAATGAATCGGGTCGTACTTAACTCCTTAAGAATAATAATAGCCTGATACACTAGACAAGTATGCAAATACTGGAATATCACAGTGTGTTTGTGTCACATTGCTACAATATTGAATCAAAATATACCAAGATGTGACATCATCATCATTGATAAACAAAGTGAGTATTATTAAAGTGTAACAGGCACACCGTAGGATTGCTTCAAGTGATTACTGAACAAAAAATTTAAAGAATGTTTAACACTGCAACATGTAAGATTGTCAGATAGGGCAACACATTTTATTTTTGTGTTTTGAAAAGCAAATATGTTAATCAAGGTCACATGCTCTGAAAAATTAATTAATATAATTCTTCATTAATTGTCACTCCATTTATTGCAGCAGCAGGTAGCAAGATGTAGGTAACATCATTATTTCAAGCGAGGTCCTCTCAGAACTTTTCTTTTCTTCTCAACATGTGCTCTGTGGTCGGGAGGGTTCAAGGTTGAGTATGGTGGATAAAAAATGTTTTTCATTTTGGGTCAGCTGCATATACGGCTTGTTGGTCAGTGAGAGACAATAAAATAAGAAACATCACCCTGAGAGGATAATGACATCCTACATAGTACTAAAACAACTAAATATGAACTGTGCATTCAACAAGGAATTATATTCAGCAACAAGCAGCTAAATCAGTCATTAATGATCACAACCATGTCTTGAAATTAATTCACAAAAGCGTTGTTGCAATTCACTTTCTGAGCAATTAGATGAACAGCCCCAAGGTCAAAACTTAACCTACCCATAGAGATAAAATGCATCAACAGATGGTTTTAACTTTTAGATGAAGTAAAACATGCTTAATACAAAATAGATGAGGTATATTAAGCATGTTAAGATGGTTCATACTTTAAGATATTTATGGTACTTAAAATGATATTGGATTACTATACTAGGTCTAAAATTAAAAAAAAAGAGAGTAATTGACAGCTTTTGATGACTAAAGGTGACTAGATGCAGCAGCTGTAGCCCGCATCATACCCTGATGTAATGACGGGAGTATACTTGAGCAACCACAGACTCCCAAGCTCACAGTCATAGTACTATCAGTGAGTGTGCAAGTTTCACACGGAGACACTAGTATCAGCTTCACTGATCAGAACCAGTACTATTAGCAGGAATCAGAAAAAACTAACAAATGCACGGCTGAGGGGCATAAAAATACTTATAAGGCTAAATATATTCATCAATATTATATTGGTTTATGAAATATTCAAGATTTTGTCAGTCATTAGATTAGGTCTCCAAGAAATACCAATACTCATTTCCGAACAACAGTTCTGATTTGTCCACCTCTGATTAAAACACTTCATTGGTAATATGAGTCTGCTTAGCATAGATTACAGTAAATAATGTTCTAGATTAGCAAAATTAATTGAGCATACAACAGATTTCTGGCACTTGTCTTAATATAACTAAATTTGTATCTTTTTCCTTACTCTCTCCATGTTCCGAGCAATCACAGCAACATGTATCCTGGGGTACAATAAATATATCTGACAGTCTAAATCTCAGGCCACACATGCCATATTTCAATAATAGATCTACATCACCCATAGCGATGTGTGAAAGTCGGCAATAGTTTCAGCTGAACACACAGAAACATCAAATCTGAAAATATACATTTCATACAAACAATCGTAACAGGGAGCAAATAACATACAGCTCCGAAACAACTTCCAACATGTAAATTTGTTCATAACATGCTACCGGTAAAAGTGTTACTTCTCTGAATATTGGATCGGGGCAGAAAAATATTCCCAACACACGGAGGGGGGTCTTGGGGTAGGTGGGATGGGTGTTTTAGAAGGAGGGAGGAGGAATTAAATGACATACATCAGCATTCTTTGACTTAAGAACATACTGATAATATCAGTCTACAAAAGTGTCCTATTGCTATGAAAGAAAGTAAATTTACCAAAAGTTTCCATTTTACCTAATTTTTTTTCATAATATAAATGTACAACTATAACGTGGCAAGTCTAAACAACTTTATTTGGTATTTACCGGTAGTGACGAAATACTATTATTCCATAATACATATTTCACTCAAGTGCAAAAACACATACCGTATTCGACGTAATAAGCGCCCAGGGCGCTCTCAAAATTAGAAATAGTGGGCTCTTATTAGAATATTATTTTGGTTAAAAAAAAAGAAATTTTATGCTGACAGCCTGAAATGTTTATATACGAGAGATATGTTTTTCCAGAATTTAATTGCTCATAATTAAGGGTGCATATAACACACGAGTGCGTATTATACGCAAATAAATAAGTCTTGTGTACATTGATCAATCGGAAGGGGTGCTAATTAGGATTGTTCACTAGCCAATATATAAGCAAATATCGCCGTGGGCCCTTATTAGAGCGGGGCGCTTATTACGTCGAATACGGTATGTCAGAGCTATTTTCAATGATGCTATAGTTTTCAGAGTATAATTATAAAATATTCCAAGAAAATACATAATAAGAGAGCACTGTCTTAAGTTTTCAGAGTATATCCATGTTTATCTCATCTCATGACAGGCAAAGTTGATGTATTTACTTGAAATACTTGCTGGCAATAAAACATGTGGCCAGTTAATAAATGTAGCACTTTGTGTTTAGCATTACTATGTTTAGCTTAATACTTTTTTATCACTACGCTGAAACTACAGACAGGAAGGAAAAGTCTACATGTTTTTTATCAAATTTTATGGGAGTTATCACACCTAAAACACAACACCCACACCCACATGTGAGGGTGGGTAGAGAAGAGGGGACAGGTACGTGGGGAGGTGGAAGGAGTCAAAGAGATATACTTTACCTTTATAGTACCGAAGACCCGCTAAGGGTTTATGATTGTTAAGATGAGCAGCCATATACAAAGCTTTAAACAATATTTCCCTGACTAGCCTAACGGCATTAAATTTCTGTGTAGTAGGACATTCGTGGAATGCCAATGAAGTAGAACATGAGAGGCATTGTATATACAGTGTTCAGTGCAATCATGAAGTAGCTCAGATACTTGTATGGGAGTTCCACAATGAACTTTTGTTTGGTTTTCGGATCTTTGGGATCCATACTGAGGACGAAACAGAGTGACGCATACACAGTGTTCTTCATATAGTGGTGCAACACAAGGGTGACAGCTACTCCTGACACCAGCCTCATCATGGCGGTTAGGACGGCCTGGTATTGGAAGTTCAGTGAGAAGGGGAGGGAGGCGTCGTTAGGGCTCATGAAGCCTTGGTTGTAGTTTATCCAGCTGCCTAGGAACAGGCCGCCGGTGATGGACAGGATGAGAGTCGTGTCGCCACGTGCCGTACTCCACTTGTCCAGTTTGGGATAGAGCAGAGAGAGGATTATGGGTAGAGACAGCAAAATCAAGGGTGACAGCGGATGTGTGACGAGAAACTTGTCGACCGGGTCAACGAAGGGCACGGTGAAGGTCATCACCACGATCGCAAAGAAAAGGCCCACGATCACATCCTGAAATGTAAAATTGAAAAATACATTATCAAGAATTACATGGTTTTAGCCTTCTGACAGGCAAAAGTTTGAAGTCCTCAACACGAAATGTATAAATTTTCCTATTTGCGTCAATAGTGCTTTGTTCAACTGAGTAAAGATTTCTTTACATCATGGTATGTTGAAAGAAAGATCTGTAATGAATGATCAAAGGGAGATAACTGACCAGAATGTTGTGCATGCCGAGGTAGATCCGACTGAGACAGACCAGAATGCACCAGGCTACTGCTACGAGCAGGCCAATAAACATGGAATACTGCAACAGAAACACAACAATTAGTGCATGTCATCACAAGCAGAAAAAAAGACAACCTCTAACTTTCACCCTAAACCTACTGATGTGTTTAACTCATCATTTTAAGTATGTGGTACATTTTCATATTTTCAGCAAATTTGAAGACTGCCTAGTAGTTGCTAAATTATTGGTTGCTATAAATCTTACTGAGACTGGTTGATTGACCTCTAAACCAACAAAATGAAGACCAGTCATCTGACTTCAACCCTAAAATTTGAAGAAGAATGGCCTTTGGTGTGAATTGCTATCCTATGACCAACCCATCTAACAAGATCTGTAACGAAGGTGGAAGTAGGGTTATGTGTGTCACCTTGTTACTGCCCACGGCACCCAGCTCGTGAGGCCCCACCAGTAGCCACACCATACACCATTCTACACTAAACAACCAACACACAATGAGGAACAATCTCATTAAAATCAGACCTTAGTTCTCGCTACCGCTAAACAAAGATCTTAAGACATCCCATTAGGGGTCACGTCAGAATAACCTTTCATCCGACCAATAAGAGCATTGCTTACCAGATTATGAAAGTGACAGTCGGAATGTGATTTCTAATCAAGCAACCTCGAAAACTTTAACACGGGGTATTCCGAACGATAGTTACGGTCTTAACGACTGAATCCATACAATCAAGACCATCTATTAGCCATTCCAGAATGTTCTTTTGTTCAGGTTGCAAATTTGTAATCGAGAATTTGTCAAAATATGTTTCGAAGCGTAGTCGCCAATTTGAAATTAGTGCCATAAAGCACGAGAAAGCTGCCTTTTGATTGGCCACTCCACTGGTCGGTCAAAGCTCGCGCAAGGTCGGTCTGACGTGACCCAATAATCAGATTTCCTCAGATCTTTGTCTAGCGGTAGCGACAACTAAGATCTGATTTTAATGAGATTGAATGAGGAAACACAGACTGAAAGTACTAGTGAGTGAGTGAGTTGGGTTTAACGCCGCTTTTAACAGTATTCCAGTTATATTGCGGTGTGTCAGCTTGACGTGGGAGGAAAGCCCGAAGTGATCCAGGTCTCACATTTACTTCGGTGAAGCCCACGAGCACGGGTATGGTGCTGACAAACCTAGAAACATAATCGGGGCGAACCGGGATTCAAACCCACAATCATAGGTTTTTGGCATGCCCAAGGGACACAACTCTGCACAGCGAATAGAGGCGCCTTAGACAACTGGGTCACCCATGCCCCCCTAAATGAACTAAGAACAAACGTCAAAGGCTCTGGATTTTTCACATTCATTCAAAAGGAACAGCTAATGTGTTAAGTAGTGAATATCTACAGATGAACAAATAGATCTTGTAGACAAGACCATGGCTTGTTTGTTGTATAAACGCACCAGACAATCCAGTGATTGACATCATCTAAATTAAATTAAATGAGGAGTAAAAGTGGAAATTGAATGGCAAAACTTCAATAAACATATGTGAAGTTCATAACAAGCTATAACCATGGAAGTAAACATTTAGTACGTGTAATGGACAAATTTAGGAAACATACTGTCTATTGTAGGAACAGAAAGATATTGATAAAATAGTATTAGTTGTTAAATAAAAAAAAGAAGAAAATATCACAAATGTAAGCCAAAAATATAATTAATTATGAGCTTTAATAAATTAACCATCAACAGCATCTGTATACATTAACTGTCGGGTGATGTAATTCACATGCATCATGATAGTAAGGCATTTGTTTGGTAAAACATTAGATATTACTCGTCTTTAGATACTTGAGAACAATAAAATGGCATGAGATATGGTGTTTGTCTGAGAGGCAGACATGACAAAAATATAATAATTGATTTAGTATGGCCCACATGGCTCAAATAAAGAACACATAGCGAAGGAAAGACCCTCTGGCTCTCTGTCATGTTCACACCATCATAAACCTATTTTCAAAGCAGCAATGAAAGTATCCCCAGGGGAGACGCGTACCATTAAGCAAATTGCTTCAGGCAACCTAGTATCACTCGAATGTGTCATTCCCACAGACCATGGTCAGGCGACACCACAATACTCCTGTATTCCAGACAAAGCTACTCCGGCTGACTCTGGTGATTCTCCATGGCATACATACACTAATGGCGGGCCATGAGTCCTTGAGTACAATAATCTAATATCATGTAGCATATGATAAATAGATTTTCACCAACACAGATTGTCCTATTGTTTGTAATTGGTTGGTTTGTTGTTTAACGCCGCACTCAGCAATATTCCAGCTATATGACGGAGGTCTGTAAATAATCGAGTCTGGACCAGATAATCCAGTGATTAATATCATGAGCATCGATCCACGCAATTGGGATCGATGACATGTATCAACCAAGTCGGCGAGCCTAACCACCCGATCCCGTTAGTCGCCTTTTACGACAAGCATAGTCGCCTTTTACTATATTGTTTGTAAAATAAGTCTTGTTTATTTGTTGTTTAAAGCCACACTCAAATATATTCCAGCTATATGACAGAGGTCTGTAAATAATCAAGTCTGGACCAGACAACCCAGTGATTCGCATCACATGCATAGATCTACACAATTGGGATACGACCACGTGCATCAACGAAGTGAGCGACTCTGATCACCCGATCCCGTTAGTTGCCTCTAAGTAAAGCATGGGTGGCAGAAGATCAATTCTAACCCGGATCTTCACGGGTCTTGACCAGTAAGTGAAAAGGCAGGGAGGAAGCATTGAAATGAAAAATTCAGAGAGATTAACATATTGTTGATGAAATCTTACATTACACAATCAAATTCTGTTTTGTTTTTTTTCCTAATTTCTCTGTTTTAAATTTGTACAACATAATAATTTTAGTACTGGTCTTATGTAGAATATACCTAGCTAGACTTGCCTATGTTGTCATCTAGACTGATTTTGAAAAAAGATTAATGCAGATATTGTCCATGTCATGCAATGTGCAGGACTATCTGCATTTCCTATCTGACAAACAAGGGCCATGTGACTGGAGGTGAGGAACAAATATCCATGAAATATGACATACCGTATTCGACGTAATAAGCGCCCAGGGCGCTCTCAAAATTAGAAATAGGGGGATCCTATTAGAATACTATTTTGGTGAAAACAAACAGTCGAAAGATAAATTTCGTGGTTTATGCTGACAGCCTGAAATGTTTATATACGAGAGATACATTTTTTCAGAATTTAATTGCCCATAATTAAGGGTGCATATAACAAACGAGTGCGTATTATATGCGAATAAATAAGTGTTGTGTACATTGATCAATCAGAAGGGGTGCTAATTGGGATTGTTCACTAGCCAATATATTAGCAAATATCGCCGTGGGCACTTATTAGAGCGGGGCGCTTATTACGTCGAATACGGTATTAATCATATTGCTATTTCAAAACAAAGTATGCCAATTGATATACTGCACTGCACTGCACTGCAAGACTTGATTAGAACATGCAATTTCTATGGTGCATCAGGGGGAAGGTTTAGGGAGTAACACACTGTTCCCCACTGTTGTGTGCTAATCACCATGTTAACGAGCCATAGAGGAAGTAAACACTGAATGCCCAGATCCAGTTACAGAGCTTTCACTTTCAAAGTTTCACCAGTACAGCTGCTTTTCACACAATGTTGGCAAACAGACAAACCCAGTTATACTGCCAGGTTAATTCCACATATTTTTAGTCAGGACATCTGGGCTAGAACGTATAGAATATCTGTGCTCATTTACAAATAGACTGGTATGAATATGAACATGATTATCTTGAACCACTTTAACTGCAGCACATGGACATGTACCTACTAGGGAGGGGATGGGTAACTCGGGTACCTGGGTCAAGTGGGTACTGAGTAGGACCCCGGTACCCACAGGACTACCAGGACCCATGGTTAGTCACGTAATATATTGTTTAATGACAAAAATTATCTAAAACTGTATGGTTACACTACAAGTCACTAATGTTCCCATTTCTTTCTGACTATGCACCCATTCCTCCTGATTTTTAAATATTTGAATTAAGATGCATGAACTTCAGGAAACGTAGTGTATGCATAACCAGATCGCTGAACGTGTATCTAAATACATTTTGCTAGGGCTACGGTCAAACTTTTCCAAATCGGACAGTTTGTACCTATCTCTAGATATCTACAGCGGGTATCCGGGTAGGGTCGGGTAATAGGGTGATGGGTACCCAGGTAGTAAATTTGGACTCATCCCAGCCCTAGTACCTACACAGAAATCACTTGCACAAACTTTACTCGTGTAGCTTTGCTAAGTGGTGGCCATTTCTTCACCTTGGACTTTGTATCCACACTAAGCTGACACACAATGATTTTAGGGCTTAGAAACAATTGTCACAGTATTCATCCCATTGAATTGACAATTTCAATTTGCTTGGATACAAATGTACTTTGGCTCTCTTTAAGTTCTTCATGGTCACAGACTAATTGCATGGTAAAAAGCATCTTCCCGAGGCAAGTGCGTCCACTAGCCTTTTTATCAAAGTCTTGTTTTCACTCTTGCCACATCAAGTCAAACTTTCCCGTGCTAAATATGATTGGACTATCTCACATGTTGATAGTCCAGTCAGAGAACGTTTCACAAAATCAACATACACGAATTGTAGGCCTCTGCATGAAGGTGATTTGTCACTGCCTGTCTTTGGTGACACAAATATGTCTTTTAACACCGCCAACAATTGCTTATGTTTTTTGTGTCAGGGATGATATTGCAAATGTTTTCGTTAGCTGGTCGACTGGGTTGTCGTCTATGGTAGTTGATATCTTCGTGAAGCTATACAAGATAAGAACAACGATCTGATTGGATATCGTGTTTTCACTGCAAGGGGCACAACTCGTGATCTATGCGAAGTGGCGCCAGGGTTGAGCCAAGAAAAGTGGCCTTGAAGTGGCAAGGGTAGAAACTAGGCTTTGATATAGGCTAGTGGACACGCTTGCCCCGGGAAGATAGGGCTGGTGATTTAGATTGATAA